AGGCGGGCGGCCGGGTGGCCTCGCCTGCTCTTCCATGGGATCCCGCGTAGACCGCCGCTCTGCTCATCCCGCAGCAGGGTGAAAGGCTGAACGGACCCAAGCGGCCACCGCTAGGAGTGAGTGGGGCTCGGTCGAAACGGGGGCCGTCACCACCCAGGACTGGTGGAACCTTGACGTGGGTTCCAGGCGTTGCCGAGGGAACCGCCTGTTTACGCAGGAACGCAGGGCGGGACTCCAGCCTGGTAACCCAGAAAACCTTCCCCAGACCCAGGTGACCCAAGCCAGGGTCTGCGCGTCTGAGGGCTGGTATGGTCCACCTCCGGCACCTCGTTGTGCCAGAGACAGCCAGACCACCCCGCATACGAAAGACGGATTCACCGAGGTGGTCTTGCTCTTTCCTGTCGGGCTCAGATGCCTAACGGGGAAGCCTTTGTGAGGGGACTGCTGCTGTGGGTATCTCTGGTGGACACAGGTAGGAAAGGAAAACCGACATCCGGAGTTCTTGAACCGGGGTGGGGGTGGGGGTATTTCCAATACCTCTATATTTTGAGCCATAAACAGAAACACTCAGAGGGAATGTTACATGTCGCTAAGTTCCAATCTCAGTTTCCGATGGTGTGGCTCTGAGGACCAAGAATTCGTGTGAGTGGTGATGATGATAGTTCAAGGGCCACACCTTGAAAACTACTGATGTAATGAGCTTGTTTCAATAGATTTCTTGCTGACACTCAATATTCCTGAGTCTGGGCTCCTCCCTTAAGTCTGATTCTAACTAAATGCTCTCAAGGACTCAAATGTGGTTCTAGGAGGGACGATATCATCGATCGTTCAAGATTCTGGACCTCTGGATGGTATCTGGTTAATGCTTCAGGAGAGGGCAGAGAGGGGTGTGGGTTCCTCTGATATTATCGTTTGGTTTCTGGAACGTGTTATGTGTGGCATATAAGGCATTTCTAGCCATAGATACTGAGTGGGGAGAGACAGGAGCAGGAAAGGCCTGGCTGCCCAGCAAAGCTACACCTCTAGATTGTGGCTATGGCCTTGAGGAGAAGCTTAATTCAACCCTCGGGTTGCCTGTGCTCTTGAAATCAACTAGCCACAAAGTGTGGGTCCTGGGCCAGCAACGTCAGCATCACGTGAGAACTTTCAGCAATTCGAAATCAACTGATCTGATACTGATCTGGAGGAGGTCCAGGCTTGTGCTTTGACAAGCTCTCCAGAAGATGGTAATGCACCGGCAAGCTTGAGAAACTCTTAAAGAATGGCTAGGACGCTTGCAGGTCTTGGAACCCATTTTAGCGCTAAAGTTTATTTCAGTGTATTCTACAGGAAACTTAAGAGTCCAAATAGAAGTGCATTTGAGGGTTTCTCAGTATCAGGCTCACACAGTCTGGGCCAGATCATTCTTGGCTGGTGGGAACTGTTCCGAACAGAGGGTCCTTGGCAGCATTTCTAGTATCTACCCATTGGAAGCCAGAAGCACATCTCCCAGCTACAACTAAAACTGTCTCCAGAAGTTGCCACATTCCCCTTCAGGGCAAAAGCAACCAATTCCAGCTGACAATCACTCAACACGAAAATATAGTACCTGTATATTAATATTTAGTTTAGTCAATCTTCAACCATTAATGCCTAGTTTTAGGAAACAGAAAATAAGGGTTTTTGTCATAAAAGACTTACAGTCTTAGGCAAACACAAACGTATTTCAAGGAAATAAGTGTTTTTAAAAGTTCAAGAATGAAATGCAATAGCGACGTTGCTAGGGTAGCTGATGAAGACTTTGTATGCTAAATTAGACTATTGAGAAGGGGGAGTATTGGAGGAAAGATACAGTGGATGCGAACTTGACATCACAAGGTTAGTGCTGAAGTTGTCACTGTCTGTTTCTAGGCTACATCTAGGCAACTGGGGAGCAAAAGGGGACTGTGTATGGTTTTCTTGGGACAGGACTTGTGTGCTGTGCTATGGAGATTAAACTATGGAGGAGGAGGGTGCACTCAACACTGGCTGTTGACCTTTATCAAACAAGGGCCAAGGTCTGGTACATGGTTCAAAAATTCAAGAGGGACTTCACGCCCTCCATTTTGTCTCTTTCCTTGTCTGCACCAGCCTTCCTCTCTGCCAGGAGATCTCTTCCTATTGGAGTCCAGCCCTCTTCCCCTCCGAAGGTCCTCATCTCACTTCCAGGGCTTCAAAGACTGTCCATTCCTAACTCCACATCTAGTTTCCATGGGCATGAGTGGGACAGCTTGGGGGCAGGACAGTGAGTGAAAAAGAGAGAGATGCTGAATTGATTGCCAGGAGGGTGGTTAAAACCAAGAAGCAGTTAAAGAGGGTAAAGCGAGGCAGGTGGGTGACACGGTTAGCAGTGACAAGTTTTCCGGTGTCGTCTCAGTTTGAAAGCTGTTTGTGGAGACAGACTTTTTGAGTATTTTAGAGTAAAAAGAAGTTGCTTGGTAAGGGCAGCTCACCTGTGAAACCTGGGTCCCTCAGGTAATTAACACAGATTTGCCAAACAGTTGTTACCAAAGGGGAGTCTCCCTCCAGACACCTCAGAGAGTTAGAAACAGCTCAACCAAAGCCCAGCCAATGAGAATCTTCATTTTAGGCCTTAAAGCCGACTAGGACACAATGTGTGAGGTTTTTCTTGGGGGGGGGGTTGAAGGGTGGCCTGATTCTTAAGCAATCTAGAAGATTTGTAACAAAAAGAGGCTATGGATGCTGGTTCACACAATTGCAGCATCATGCGCAATTGGGGGCCGAGGACCAACCCCCAATTGGGGAGCCTCACTGAGCCACTCTGTGGGTGACCTTTGACCTTTTTGTTAGAAGCCTCCTCCAATATAGGTACCACACTTGGCTGCAAGGATCCAGCGGCAGTGTCCACCACGGGTTTGATGAACCCTTCAGTGACTCGCAACTGACAGGCCAAGCAGTTTCCAGAGAGTAATGATGCAGAATCCAGCCAACAGTTACACACATGAGGAAAGTGTCTCCAGAAGCTGAGCTCCTGAGGGATGGAGCTAGGGTTGGGAACAAGCTAAAAAGAGGGGCAGGAGTTCCTGTCTCATCATCTTTACGGTGGACACATTTAAGCACTTGGGGGCTGTCACTGAGGGGAAGGGGGCTGCGGGTGCCATGGTTTGTGATGGGGTACGCCTGAGATGGGCTGGGATACAGGGAGCAGCAGAGCAGCAGCATCCACAGTGCCGGAAGCGGGGTTGGTCTCCCCAGCCCTTCTGACTCCAAGGAAGGCAGAGCAAAGGGCAGGTAGATTAGGACAGCGGCTCTCAGCCTTCCTGATGCTGCGACCCTTTAAGACAGTGCCTCACGCTGTGCTGACCCCACCATAAAGTCATTTTCATTGCTACTTCATAACTGTAATTCTATTACTGTTACGAATTGTAAACACCTGTGTTTTCTGGTGGTCTTAGGCAACCCCTATGAAAGGGTCATTAGACCCCCAGAGGTTGAGAACCACTGGATTAGATGTCCAGATGTGAGGTATTACCAGTTTGTTGGAGTCACAGTCTCTGGACTAACTATACCAGAGTGAGTCAACGTGCTTGTCCAGCATCTTCTTGTATAGGTGAGATGAAGCAAGGGTATCCCACAGGTGAGGCAGAGAGTGCTACCCTGAGGCAGTTAATGGGGAATGCACTTTCTGTGACGATTCTAAAACAAGACGGGAAACAGCTAAGTCCTCTGCTCATTATTACCACCAACAGCTGATGACTCCTAACTCTGTGACAGATATAGTCCTGCACCCTTGGTAGCCAGGGGACACTAACATAGTGTGCTGCTTTCAGACAGAGGTTATATATGTGGCACATCGAGAAATGTGACTCTAAAACAGCATATTTATTCTAATTAATGAGACATGAGTTTAGGGGAGAAAACAGCAATTCTACTTTCATTTCTTTAAATGCAGAAAGCCACTTACTCTATGGAAATTTAGTCACACTGACTTAATGACAGTGTCTCTTTTCCTTTTCCCTTTGAGGTGAGTGATAGTGTCGACACAAAACCTAAACTGCTTGGGGTAATAAAAAATATTCACTTCTTATTTTTCTTGAGGTTAGGTAATAAAGTTCCAGACCTCCAAAAATGAGTCAATAAAGGTTTGCTGAATGACAGAGCCACTTAATATGGATTAATTCGGTACTGGTGTGCACAGAAGTGAAATACTATCACAACCTCACAAAAGATCTAGTGAGTTGTCTGAGGGCAGTGTGGTTAATGTTTCAATGTATGATGTCAGACAATGATCCATTTACTTTAGTCCTGATTTTAAAAGACAGGGCCTCAATGAATTGCCTGACCTCAAACTTTACAATCTTCTTGGATCTACCCACCATGTGCTGGGATTACAGTTATGTGTCCCCACACCTGCCTTTCAAGAACTAATTCTAACAGGCTCAAGGGTAAGTATTAACTAGTAAGTAAAATGCCAGTAATGGGATTTTTTTCATGTTCTAAATCTAGCAGGTGACTGATTGATGACCGGCTGACCCAAGGCTTTCTCAGAGGCCCCTGGGAAAGGACAAAAGGAAACCAGTTCCATGTCCTTGCTCGGGGCATGCTTGACCAAGTCCAATCTGGGGCTGGAGCCAGAGCCTAGAAGGAGTTCCTTTCCATTCCTGGGAACTTGGTTTTCCCCAATGAAGATACTGGAGTTTTCAGTGATACCCTGAGGTATCCTGTGCTCCCCTGTGCAACACTACCTGATTAGCTTCCTGCTGACTTTGTCCCATCGCATGATAGTTTTCTGCTAGCTCTGTCCCCCGCCCCAAACAGTATACAAGATGGTACACTTCTTAATAAACTTGCTTGGCATAAAACGCAGCTTGTGCAAGACCCCCTGAGGCCACTTTTTCTCTCTTCATCTCTGATCTCCTGGACTTTTCTCGTCTGTACCTGTCAGTGAAGAACAGCTTACAGGTCAAGGTCAGCTGGTAGAACCTGAGATTCACTTCGATGTAAAGGTTCAGAGACTGACGTTTACTTCACATCTGTATTTCAAAAATGTAGCATGAGGTTGTAGAATCAATCCTTAGAACCAGTGAATGAACCAAACAGAGGAAAAGGAGCCAACCGAACATACAACCATCAAAATACCTCTCCCAAACCAAAAAGCACCATCTCAGAGATGTCAAAAATCTGGTCGCCAGTTGGTCTTTGCAGCATCAGCCAGTGGCTCTGTGGCACTTGGGTACCGGTGGGTGTAGATGACGGGGTCACCACAGCAAAGGCAACAACATCCCAGCAGCACCTGTAAGAGGCCTGTCGAAGCAGAATCCGTTTGATCCTCCCAAGATTATTTATGCCAAGTGTTGACAACTTTGCAATAACCCACCTCCTCAGCATGCTGCCTATGGAGGGCTTTGTTTTACTCAAACTGGAACGTTAAAATAACAAATTCACAAGGTTTATTATTATGTGGTCTATAAATGAAGCCATCGTTAAAAGACACTTTAAAACTAAACATTGTCATGTCCACAACATAGATTAAGTAACTAGGTTTTAATTTTGCCTTGCATACTAATGATTAAATAGTTTCTGAATTTTTAGCACTTTATATGCCACATCAGTGATATTTATGCTCAAAAGGTTTACAAATAGGAAGTATAACGCCTTGCATTTAGTCATAGTGTTCTATTTTAGAAAGTGTAGGAAATTAGCCTATATGTACAACTGGATGCTGGTTTTCATATGATACAGAGAAACACTGCTTATTGGTAATTACTTTAGAAGGAAAACCTTTAAAACGTATGGAAAAGGTCACTTGAGAAGAAATCCATCCTTCAACGGGTCATCATCTTCCACAGTCAGGCTTGCTGTGCCCGTGTAATGGGCTTGTCCTGCAACTTCCACTATGACAGCTTTAAAATCCCCACATGTCGCTTCCTGAAACACAGAAGACAAAGGAGCATACTAAGAAACTCCTGCAGTTGTTTGGTATCTCTAAGGCTGGGCTCTTGGCTCTTATACCCTAGCGAAGCCCACATGTTGTTCCCTCAGGCACAGGAAGGTTTTTAAGGTCAGATGTGTGTTTCAGTTAGCTGAAAGGAAGGGGCACACGGGAGAGGCACAAGAAACCCAGAACCTGCTGAGAGGGAACTCTAGGCTACACTGTGACACTCTGTCACAACATGAAAAAAAAGAAAGAATTCTGATTTCCTGACTGTCACCTGGAGCCATGCTGCAGCAGTGAGCAGGGAGAAGGAGAATTAACTAAGTTGGAGGTGGACCTGATGGCCTGCAATGTGGACAGAGGGGAATTGTGACTATGACAAATTTGACTGTAGTTTCTAGCTTGGAAGTGACATGATATAAACTATTAGCACAGGTGAAAAGGGGGGGGAGGGAGGGAGAGGGAGAGAAGAGACAGGTGATTTGAATGAGAACAGCATCATGGGCTCATATGTTTGAGTACAGGGTCACCAGTTGGTGGAACTGTTGGGGAAGGATTAAGAGGTGTGGTCTTGTTGGAAGAGGTGTGTTACTGGGAGGGCTTTGTAGTTTCAAAAATCTACTTCATTCCCAGTTACTTTTCTCTCTGCTGCCTGCTTTTGGACCAAGATGGAAGCCATGCTTGTATGCGTATTGCTATGCTGCCCATCATGATGATCATGGACTCCAGTTCTCTGGAACTGTTAGCCCCAAATTAAATGCTTTCTTCTCTAAGTTGCCTTGGTCATGGTGTCTTATTACAGCACTGGAAAAGTAACTAAAAGAAAAATGCATGGGGGGGGAGGGAGGAGGTTTTAGCATGCAGAATTTAAGACACTTAGGCAGTCACTTAGAGATGAGTGTGGTGAACTGCTGAAGCGTTAGGTTGGACAGGAGTATAGGACAGACAGAGTTGGGATGAAGGTTTGGGACTTATCTTCAGCAGAAAGTCAAGAACCGAAGTTCAGGCGGTAGATGGAATTGTCCAGTATCATCAAATTGGAGAGAGACTAGATGGAAGCTAAGGACCAAATGCTGGGACCACGGAATTGGAAGGGATGTAACTGAGAAGGCATCTTCAGAGACCCTGGAAGGCGCGTGGCTCTTTTGCACAGTGAAGGAAAGCAATGCATTGGGGAATGGGCAGCCGTAAATCAACAGTTGCAAACTTGCTGTGCTTTGGGTATGGAATGTCCCCATGGGTTAATGTTTTTGAACACCTGGCTCCCAGTTGGTGGTACCCTTTGGGGAAATTGTGGACCCTTTAGGAGGTAGAGACTCACTGAAGGACCCACTGGGGGTGGGCCTTAATGTTTTATATCCAGCCCACTTCCTGCTCACTTTGCTTCCTGACAGCTGGCTTCCTGTCACCAGACTTCCCCTTTGCTGCTGTGTCTTCCCTGCCATTGTGGAACACATTCCCTTGAATAGCAAACTAGAATAAAATCTTCCATTGTGTATTTGATCACAGAAATGAGAAAAGTAGAAAATATAAAATCTTACTTGGAGTGTCTTTGCTTTTTTAATTTTTAAAATAAGAATAACCAAAGGTAAAATGTCAACTGTAAAATCAAGGTACACTAGTTTATCACTTTAGTGCAGGTGGACCCATGGACTTGTGCTTGCTGAGCCAGCGCTCCACAACTGTGGGGGTTTGAATGATGTCACTGGGGGAGGGCTCCGAAGTCTTAAATGTCTCACGCCACTCCCAGTATGCTCTCTGCCTCCTGCTTGCCATTGGTGCTGTGCCTATGACGGTCTAGATTCATGTGAGGGTTAAATGGAGTAGCATTCATACAGTTCTCAGCTTGGAGCCTGGCACACAATAAAGTTCCTAACAAACGTAGCAGGTTATCATTTTACCTCCAGTCTCAGACTCAGAAGACATTGTGTCCCACATTATTGCACAGAGCACAAATGGTTTGGTATATTATAAAATCACTGCGTGATATGCGGATACCTAGCTTACAGATAATTCAGTATTCAGGAGGAAAAGGCCCTTAAAAACAGCTGCATTAGGGTAGCTTGCTTCCTATGTTAAACTTCCTATGAGTACGTTTATTCACTAATGTAGGTCCATCATTCTATAACATGTTTCATTTACTACTGAGTAGACTTATTGCTAGTACATTTGCATTTAATTTCATTACAAAAATTCTATTTGTTCACAACTCTCATCTTTTATGTTCTACTGTCTGAATTACAATACTTCCTCAGAACAAGTTAAAAAAAAAAAACTCTTAATGTGGCACTTCTCAAATCCTTTGGTCTCAAGAGCCCTTTACACCTTAGTATCTGAGGGCCTCCACAAGTTCTTCTTTAGGCATGCTATTCCTCTCAGTACTTATTGGGAATTAGAGATATTTGTTCATTGCTTCATTTGAAAACAAACTGATTGCACAGGAATGTAAACACACTTTATGTAATTAAAGATAACTGCTTGACAAAAAGTTTTCGATAAGAAAAGTGGCATCGTGTTACAGTCTTGCCAGGCCCTCTCATGTCTGTCTCAACAGAAACGGCTGGATTCTCACCTGGATTCTCACCTGCTTCTGCATTCAGTCATTCCTATGTTTGGGCTTTCACCCATCATGTAGCCTCACTATTTCTGAGTGAGTGAAAGCAAACCATGTCTTAGTATTATGATGAACATAGTGGGTCAAACCAGAGGTGCCAACACTACACTGTGAGAATCGACTGTCGATCACAAGTCTTTACAGGCCTGATTTCAAGTGCTTGTCTACGAGAACAGAGAAGGAAGTTATCATCCAGCACCGCCACTTTGGGCTCACAACAAGAAGCCAGAGTTACACTCACCCTCACCGCACGCCCGGAGAACACCGAGCCCGTTGCACTGCTTTTGAAGGTTCTGGTCTGATTCAGCTGCAGAAGGCCCTTATGATACTGCAGAGCAATCCGGGCTGTCACTCCCGAGCCGGTGGGGCTCCTGTCGACCTGTTCAGAATCAGTAATGACAGGAACTGAGTGTTCTCTATCAGCTGCTTCCGGTGTTTAAGCATAACAGGTGCAGTCTTGATACCTGTTCATCTGCAAACACGCAGATGTTGGTGGTGGGCTCCTCACTGTAAGCATCTTTTCCATCTGTTAAAATAGTTCCATACAAAAAACCAAGGTCTTCACTCTCGGGATGGTTGATTTTAAACTGCAAATAAAACAATATGTAAATTTTTATTCAAATTTTGCCTCTAGAAATAAGATCAACGACAGACTCTCAGACATAATTTTCTCTGTATGTATTACTTTTGAAATTACCTGTTGGATAAGTCTAAATAAATGCTTGATAGTGTGTTACTCTCTAAACACAGTTTTATTAACAGTTATGATTCTGATGTTGAGTTCCTGCAGAGGAAGCTGCTCTGTATCTAGCTTTATGGGTGTGATCATTTGTATTCATCTAAGCACCAAGGGAGACATTTGTCATCAAGGTAGTATGGGGACTCACCTGAGCCTTCACTGCTTCTGTCACTGAGCTTGCTGCCACCACGAGGTCCCTCGTCTTTGCAGAACACACATCAAGTCCCAATTTTTCTGCACTGACAAATGCATAAAATGCCCCGCCATAGGCAATGTCCACCACCACCTTTCCATGTCCAGGGACATCCACCGTGAGGTCTGAAAGAGGTGTTTACAGCTAGGTTTGTTAGGAAAAAATCACATTTCTAAAATCATGTTTACTCAAAGGAGGAACTTTCACAATAAAAAGCAATACAGCAGAAACCCATTTTCAAAATAAGTGTTGGGTAAATGAGAGCTATGTACATTTTGTTTAAAATGGTGGTTTGCCTAAATGGTGCCTGGTGGTGGTCTGGATGTTGTGTTTCTCTTTGATTATAAATATGTACATATCTGTTAACTACTTGAGGTTCTTTTGTTGGAAACATCATAGAGGGTGACTAAGAGATGGGGAACTCTGGGACAGCTACCTGTGAAGACCATGAAGGAATACATACTAGTAGGGAAGGCTTCAAGTGGGATTTGAATGTTATTCACAAACTGGCCATCATCAGTTTATAATGATCATCAGTTATAATGACAAGAGGAAAATTTTACAGAAGATTTTTTCTAAGCTGGGCATACGTAGCTCATGCCCATAACACTACAGTGGGCTTGCAGGCATGCACCACAATGTCTGCCCGCCACTTCTCTTCTTAAATAACTAAATTGCTGACACTGGAAATTGAGACCATGGATATTCCCTGTGCCAGATACACCGCCTACACTACTTCTCTAGCTACTTCATCACTGACAGGAACTGTGACTTAAGGCCCTCCCATAATTCTGAGAAGCCCACCAAATAAGTGGCAGAGTTTGGGGTCAAACTCAGAAGCAGCTGACTTTCATGCCCCAACCCTTTCCCCCAAAATATGTAACCTGTATTTAGCACTCAATTCCAAATCTAATCTCTTTCCTTTTGTCTATGCAAGCTTATGATTAGGATTTTAAATTGCTTTTCTACAGATAACACTTAGAGCATACCTACCAGAAGAGTATATGCCTCGTAGAAGACTAAAGAGTTATAGGATAATAAAACAGCCTTTCTTCTCAAGTTCAGTTAGACAAGAAAGATAAAATCTCAAATGTATCACATGGTGTGAATGAGGTTGAATATCCGAGTTTTCCAGGAAATCGAAATGTATCTCTGTGAATTGCAAAAATGTCAGGGATGAAAGGCTAATTTTCCAGGCTTGATTTTGGCTCCTGCTCCTCAGAACAGCTTTGCTGTCCTTGCACAGAAAATGGACGTGCTATGTCCCCTACAAGAGTTGCTTTGAAAATTCCATGCAGTGATACACAGAGAGTACCCAGCACAGGGTAGTAGGCATGGTGAATGCTAATGTGAAAGCCAAGATTTGATTTCGATAGGAATGGCGTTCTCCAGAGGCCCGGAGAGCTGCAAGTGCCAGTTGGCATTCTCCAATTTCATTTGTCTAGCTACTCGTTCAGCTACTATTCACTTCCAGTCTACTATTTAGACCCCTAGGATACAGTGGACCAATCCAATGTAATTTATCTTGCCTGGAGGCAGTGAACTCTGTAGCCCTCTCAGGTGGATACAGTTGCACCTTCATTTCCCAGATGGTGACTTTCCTGAACAAAGCCGCTGGGATAAGAAGGGGCAGATCAAGGCTCCCACCATGCCCCTGTCTCCCTGTCTTTTATGCGCTTCCGAGGGTGCAAGGTTTCCTGTTCCTAGTGCTTCAGCATGACCGCTCAAGTCCACCGATGCCTGTGCTGTGGCTCAGGGATGCTGCCGGGAACTCTGGTATCCAAAGGTTTGGCTATCCCTCTCCTTACCATCCTAGGACTAATATGCAAATGACACTGCTGCCACAGTTGTTGGGTCTCAGAAAGGTGGACTCTCCAGCCTACTGCTTTAGTTGCCTAGGGAGAAATGAGGTAGCCGGCCAGTTAAACGACTTTTTAAAAAAATCATAAATGATCTCCCTCAAGCACCAATCTGGCTGTGATGCCATTTTGTTAAAGGGCATCGAATTCCACAGAGGAACTCATCACCACGGGTGTTTGCCCACTGAGGTTGCTCTAAGCCTGCCTTGCGACAGTGTCTTTCACGCCCAGGCTGACCTAGAGTCTAATTATTACGGGGGGATCAAGACAGATTTTCTAAGAATGCTTCGAAGACTTGGAGAAAGGCAGCGTTACATAACAGTATTCCTGGATTGACTGGATTAGCTCCCAGCTCCTGGCCAGTCGGGTATTAAACACCTGCTCTGACAAATTCCATCCTGCAGGCGTATCTGCCTTTCCACTGTGGCAAAGTTCATTCTAGAGAGTTACACACTCCAGAGACAGTAAGAAGCAGGTAAAGCATTAAATAAGTTCCGTGCCTTAAGAAACTTCACATTTTATGTTGGACCACATTCATAGCTATCCTGGGCACATGGGCCCTGCAAGCTACAGGCTGAATGTTCTTGCTAGCAGAGGTTCTCAATCGTCCTAATGCTGCCATCCTTTAGTAGAGTTTCTCGTGGTGGGGTGACCCACAACCATAAAATTATTTCCATTGCTACTCCATAACTGTCATGTTGCTACTGTTATGAATCGCAGTGTAAATATCTGTGTTTACTGAGGGTCCCAGTGAAAGGGTCAGGCGTGCCCAACGGGAGTTGTGACCCACAGGTTGAGAACCACTTTTGCTAGAAAGACACCTGGCATTAAAGATAAAACACCAGCTGCCAGGTAGACAGATAACCTGCTTGGAAAGATAACAAAGGATCTATACTAGAGAACCCAGAAAACCTGTTCATATTTCTGTGCATCCAGGAAACAAGCCCACATATATCTTGAAGTCTCTGCTTCTTGACGAATATTTTTTCAGATATTTAGAAAATTCTACCAGCACTCAGGAGGTAGATGTCTATGTGATGGAGGCCAGCCTGTCACCACAGATGTCCTAGGGTTTCATTCAAGCCAGGATTACAGAGTGAGACCCTGCCTCAAAACAGAAGCCAACCCGTACTGACCTTTAAGAAAACACAATTCTAAGAATGTTTTATGTGTTCCTTTTTAACCATAAGAACCTCTGGGCTAAGTCAGAGACCTCAGGGGTTGTCAACTTAGACATTCAGACAAAAACAGCAATATCTTCCCTTGCAAATTTAGTTCTTTCCCCAAAGCCAAGGGGAACTGTGTAGCTCATGCTGGGCTGAAACTGACATTCTCCTCCCTACAGAGAGAAGACACTTAACGGCTGGGGAAAGGACAGGTCATGTTAAGTAACTATTAGTAATAATGTGTTTACCAAGCACATTCTAAGCTAGACTAGAACCCTGGTGCACACACTGTCCTTTGCTCTTAACTTCATTCTACCGTGAAATCTCCACGAATGCCTGACAAGCATGCAGTCGGGAATCTTGGGTAAAAGAAGCACAGAATTCTTTGCCACTCCACTCAAAGAACCCTCAGGCTCTGTCTGCCGGATAAACTGAACAGCAACCACGAAGACGCTGAGACGGGTCTGCAGTGACTTGGAATTACCTTTTTATGAATTGCGAGGGCAGGCAGGGTGGGTTAGTTGCACGGGTTTATTCAGCACAGAACAGTGGTTAGATTCGTCCGGACTGTGTCCCAGCCCTGACACCCTTTACCTGCGGCCAGGACGAAGGCCGGGACGCTGTGGAAGCGCACAGGGCCGCAACTTCGGCCACCTTCACACGCCACGAAGGCGGCCACCAGCCCGCATGGGCAGTGGATGTTGACCTGGGCCTCCCGGGCGCCGTCTGGGGGAGCGTCTGGGGGAGCGGGCACCAGTCCAAAGTCAAGCGCGAAGCGGCCTAGCGCCAGCACCGCGTGACCGCACATGGAGCTGTAGCCTTCGTTGTGCAGGAACAAGACGCCCAGGTGCGCGTCGGGCAGCTCGCTGCGCACCAGGATCGCCCCGTACATGTCCCGGTGGCCGCGGGGCTCGAACACGAGCCGCCGCCGCACATAGTCGAGGTGTTGACGCATGTAGCGTCGCTTGGCCAACAATGTGGGGCCGGCCACCTCCGGACACCCTGCGTGTACGATGCGCAAGGGCTCGCCGCCGGTGTGCATGTCCACCACCGACAGTGCGGGCGTCCTCGGGTCGTGCGGGGGCAGCCGGGGCGCTGCCAGCGCCGCCTCCATGGCCTGCGTCCAGGGGATGCCGCTCAGCACAGCGGTGCTTTCTCCAAGAAACGCCAAACCCCGCGGGAGAACGTGCAGGGCCGGTGGCAGCCTCAGGGCCAGGCCTCGGAGCGGAGACGACCCAGCGACAAGCGCCTGGAAGCTTAGACTGGGAGCCCCGAGGATGGCCACAAGGCGGGGGCGGGCCTCGGAGACTAGACACGTGGCAGGGGCGGGGCCTAGAAAACCAGACTTGCGTGGGGGCGGGGCTCCAGAGACTTGAACGCGGCAGGGGCGGGGCCTCGGAGACTAGACACGCGCCGTGGCGGGGCCTAGAAAACTAGTCGGCACATGGAGGCGGGGCTCCAGAGGCTTGAACACCCGGCGGGGGCGGGGCCTCGGAGACTCGCTCACACGACGGGGCGGGGCTACTAAGCCTTATCTAGGAAACGGGGGCGGGACCTCTGGATCCAGTCTAGGAATCGCTCGAGGCCGTGTGGACCCGCCTGGGTTGGAGGCCGGACCTCGAGTCCTGCCCTAGCCCAGACGAGGCTCGGTGGAGCTGGACCCGGAAAGGGTGGAGTCTCTGAGCTCAGACCCGGAAGCGACAGCGAGGCTTCCGACCCTAGACTAGGAAACCAGGGTCCTGGGAACCGAGGCCGGGTAGTCCGCAAAGTGCATCTCAGCCTAGCGGAGAAGGCGGTGGTGGGGCGGGACTCGGAACCTAATGTAGCAGGGGTGGGGTTCCACTGCGATCGCCAGGCTAGCGGGAGGCGGAGCGGCGGGGAGCGCTGTGGCCCGGATGTTCGGGCGCTGCGTTCCGACCGGCTGATCCCCGGGCTTCTTTGGAGAACCTAGCGTGGCCAATGGGTAAGTGGTCGCTTAGGCTGCGTTCTCTGTCTTGGTGCCTGCTGCTTTTCCACCGTGTTGCCTCGGGCTCGCCTCCGGCCGACAGCTCTCGCCTGGAGGGCAGCCTCCGTCCTTGACCGCCCTGTGCTCCCGCTCTGACTTCTCCCGGGGCTGGGCTGGTCGCTCCGGAATGGCTGGGGATGAGCGCGGGGCCGTGTGCAGAAGGAAAAGTTGGGGCTTTGTTGTGTTCTTCCTGTGTTCTTTCATTCATTCCTTTGTTCCTTGTCCAGGAAAGCATTCCTGATGGCTGACTTGAGAATTAGAAGAAGTGAGGGTGTTAGTGCAGGGCAAGGGAGCAGAAGCAAATTGCCACATACGATTTCTCACCTCAAATGTAAATTTTTGTTAGTGTTTTGTTTTTCGAGACAGCGTTTCTCTGTGTCGCCCTGGATGTCCTGGAACTCTCTCTGTAGACCAGGCTGACCTTGAACGCAGAGATCCACCTGCCTCCCGAGTGCTGGGCTGAAAGACGTGCGCCACTACACCAGGCATCTAAGGAAAATACACTTTGCTTTTGTTTGTTGCACTAATTTAGATTCAAAGCCTTTTGAGAAGGGGCTTTCTGTGCCTTAACTTTCCTCTCAGAAAACCTGGGACAATTCACGTCATGTATTTAGTTCATTACTATTCAGTTGTTATAAAAATGATGTCAAGGGTGGAGATATGGCTCAGCGGTGTAAGAGCACTTGCTACCCTTCCTGACCACTGGGGTTTGAGTCCCACCCAGCACCCAGCAGTCTCAGGACCCTGTGCAACTCCAATTTACTAGGATCAGATATCCTTTTTCTGACCATGGTCTTTTGACCTCCACGGGCACCAGGCAGGTACATGGTGCACAGAGGTAAATGCAGGCAAAATGCATAAAAACATAATTCTACAATAAAGTCTTTTTAAATATTCTAAAATAAGGACACATGGGTTAAAAAAGGATGTCAAGTACTTGATAAAAGTGAAAAATATTAAACGTGAGGCATTTTAGATTGTTTTTCTGTTTTCCCTCAAAAAACGTAAGGACAAAATAAAACCCAAGTCTACAGGAATTTGAAGGGAGAAAGGGCCTTGTAACCAGAGTCTCCACATTAAGAATGATGAAAGATTTGAGGAAATTATTGTCCAGTGATAATAATAAAGTGCAAATTCCCACATAGGCCACCATTGCGTTGGGCTCATTTCATGGTATATGGCAGATTCTTGGAGAGGACAGCCACACCGTCATGGTCCTCTGAGGACCTTCATGGCCCTTGAGCAGGGAAGAGAATCGGGTGTCGCTGGTTCTAAAGACGACGGCAGTAATTTCTCCTGGATGAGGTCCAAGATGAGTTGGAGGTCCTCATCATTTGGAGATCCTTGGGGTTTTGTTTTTTTAAAAAGCTGTTTTTTATTTTCCCATATCTTTAAGAAATTGATTGCAAGGCAGTGAGTGGTTCCTAGGTAATTGGTCTGAAACTCAGTGCCAGCGTTGATGAAATTTACCCGTCCTCAACAAAAATGATAAAAGTTAGGATATTGCTTCTATGTGGGGTGAATTGATTTGTTTTAAAGACCTACCTCTAGTCTGAAATTCTCTCCTTCAGCCTCTCTTAATGTATTCTGTTATGAACAAAGAATATATGTGTGCCCAGTGTCCCAACTGGGCAAAATGAAGACTATTGACCTACCAGTGATTTGTTTTAATTAATTTTTTTATATTGTGTGATATGTGTGACACTGGGGAGTGCCTGCTGGAGCACACATATGGAGGATGACAAATTTCTGATGTCCTCCCCTTTTACCATGCGCTCTAGAACAAACTCCTCAGGTAGTTTAGGCTGCTCAGCAAGTGCTTTTGCCAGAGCCATCTCTCTGGTCCTTTATCAAAAAAAATGCTTATGACCTTATAATCAATGAGATTCCAAAGTCTAGTAATAGGGACCACTCCATGGAGCCATTGGGAAGATTCAGGGGTAGGTGACTAGGGCTAGTTGAAGACCAGTATGAGGTTCAGGATGAACAGTAAGATGCAAGTATCATTTTCTGTAGTGTCACAGTCTGAAAGAATTTAAAAGTAAATGCACCAAGACTTGTCTGTTACATGTTTTTAAGGGCGGTTGAGATACTTCTGCCAATTCAGCTGTTATCAGGTTGTTATTATTTATAACCACAAAAGATGTTACTATACTGGCATTTGTTTTTAAAAAGCTGTCGATATTCAACCAGCATGCCTTGGACTGTATTGTGGGAAGACCCTATTATTTAAAAACGGCTCAAATGAAATCTATGGAGAATGTGGGGTAAGTACTATGTTAATTTTAAGACCTATTTATTTACTTTAGAAACTTGTATGTAGAATTTTTTGTTTTAAATATTCATGAATGTGTAAGAATGTGGTATTAATAAAAGCCTTGTTTATATTGGCATGTTGATAACTATATTAAAATCTTTCTTGATAGTCACAGATATTAAAAATATTTTGTAGTATATAATTACTGTTTAATGATCTATCAAAGTGTTTTGTACAATTAGCATGACAACTCCAGAACACTTCGGCAGTAATTTTTGTATGATGTTACTAACAAGGTTTTTCATTGAATATTAGTTAGCTGTTTTAGCAATTAAGTGGAAAGAGTCTTCATTGAGCATTTTTCAGACAGCACAGATGATGTGGATTTCTTGAAGTATTTTTCCTTTTAGATTTCTTTTTATTCTGCTTATGGATTTTCTTTTTTAATTTCTAAGAGCTACACATAAATACTAAACTGTTTGAAATAAAATGGGATCTCTTATAGGATGATCCTAAAATACTATTTGTGTATAAAGCAATATTTTTACTTGTTGTAGGTGTGCCCAAGAGGACAGAGAACAAATGCACAGAAATACTGTCAGCCTTGCACAGAGTCCCCTGAACTTTATGACTGGCTCTATCTTGGATTTATGGCGATGCTTCCTCTTGTTCTACATTGGTTCTTCATTGAGTGGTACTCGGGGAAAAAGAGGTGAGCACACCCTGATTGTATCTGGATGGACCAGTGTTGGAGCAGTGATCACATGTTGTGATGCTGAGAACATAGTTGTCTGCTAGCCTACACCCTCAGCCCCACTGTCCTTCAGAAGAGTAATTACTCTTCACCGTTTCAAAGGGGACAGCATGCTTTTCTCTTTATTTCTACTGGTTTTTCCTGAAATGAGAAAGCACTAGTAGGACACATCTTAGTAAGTGTTAATGGCACTCTGATAAAGAATATTGTTTCTCAAGGATGATACTGAGTTTCTGCAAAAACTGGTTAGGAACACAAGCTGTTACTGTTTTAGAACAGATACTTTGTAACTTAATTTAATGCTAATGACCTGGTATAATTATGATAGCTGACTAGTGCACTGTTAGTGTGTTTGCTGAGTAGTGTATTTTATGTTTGGAAGATCAAAGGATGAGAGAGAGAAGATAGATAGGTATATGATGGTAATATCAATCCATCTTAGAGATGTAGTGAAATATTCTATTGTCAACATCTGGAGTCACAAAGAATGGGGAGAGAAATTATGCCCAACAGGATCTAAAAGACTTAAAAAGAAATGCTGAAACAGTTTAGGCATCAGAAAGGTAAGGGATGTCAGTGCGGTCTGAAGTGGTGGCGGTCTGGCTTGTGAAGGAAGGAAAGTTAATGATGAAAGAGGGTGGAGGCCAGAGCGAGGTTCCTGACATTCCACAGGGAATGGGGAGACAGAGTCCTCCTTAGCTGTCTCAGCCTTCGTAGCTTTTGTTCCTCTGCCCTGTGAGTTTTTCCTGCTTTGACCTTTTTACTTTCTCCAAGCTCCTTTGCTGCCTGGCATTGTGAAGGCAGACGGGGGGTTGGTGTGGTTGAGAAATGAGAGCTGACTGACAAAGGACTGAGCCTTGATCCAGAGACCTGGGAATGGGAAGTCTTATGGACTGTTTAAAAAAAGAAAAAGCTGGGTCGTAATTCCAGAGCCGGTGGCATAGCGCATGCGGCTTTCCACGCATTTGACCTGTATCATGACTGCGCCCGGCTGACGGAAGCACTGACGTTGCTCTGGGATTGTGCTCCCGTTTCTCCAGCTCCAGTGCTCTTTCCCAGCACGTCACTGCGCTGTTTGAGTGCGGTATGGCAGCCATCATCACCTTGCTCGTGAGTGAGCCAGTGGGCGTCCTTTCCATCCGTTCCTGCCGCGTGCTGATGCTTTCTGATTGGTACACGATGCTTTACAACCCGAGTCCAGATTATGTTACCACTGTGCACTGCACTCATGAAGCAGTCTACCCGCTGTAAGTATTTTTTGATGTAAAAACCATACTTGCACTTACACACATGCACACATATCTAGGAATATGTTTTGTATATTTCATAGACTTTTTAAAAAGATGTTATCTGCTTTGGGGAATACAATAGAGATGCAATGTTTGACATACAGGAAGAAAATGTGGGCGCTGGACACAAATAGAACCTGGGTTTAAATTGTGGGTTGGTCAGTTACACTAGAATGAATACGTTAACAGTGTCATACGATTCCAGGTTTTTCATTGGTAGATGGGAATAATGCCTCATAGAGCACTGTGAGGATTAATGACTCCATGTATATTACATGTAGTGTGTCTTGCCCATACATGCAGGTGTTCAGTAATAGCTGCCATTACTATTTGAGTATTTGGGTTAGTGTTTTGTCTTTTTTTGTGGTTTTGCAATGACTGTAGTCTTCATCAGATTGCTATAGTTTATGTCTGTGAATGCATCTGCATGCCACAGCACAGATTGCTATAGTTAATTTATGTCTGTGAATGCATCTGCATGCCACAGCACGTGTGGAGGTCAGAGCACAAACTTGCAGCAGTTACTTTTCTCCCTGCATCATGTGGGTCCTAAGGATCGAACACAGGCCATGAGGGTTAGTGGCAAACATCTTTACATCCTGAGCCATCTTTGTCAGCCCAGAATGCTGTTTTCAAAAGGAAATTCTTAAGATTTTGTGCACTGTAGCATACTATTCCATCTTTAGAGTTTCTTTAAATTATTGGCAATTTGGTATATTTTTCTTGGTATAAGTGGAATAGAAAAATTATTTTGTTGGAGTAAACTTACTCATTGGAGCAGGTTTCCACTAAATAGTGTGCTCTATAAAATTAGTTTTTGATCAGGTTTTTTTTTCTAAATACTTTTGTTACTCTTTATTTTTTATGTACAGATGTTCACATATATATATGTGTGTATATATATTATGTACTTCATGTGTGTCTGTTGCCCATGGAGACAAGAAAGGGTCATTCAACCCCCTGAAACTAGAGTTACAGGTGATTGGGAACTACTCTGTGGGTGTTGGGAATCAAATCCATGTCCTCTGCAAGAGCAGCCAGTGCTCTTAACTGCTGAGCCATCTCTCCAGCCCCTTGATCAGTTTCTTAATAGTAATTGTCAAACACATGGACACATGTATATAAAAAGTGACTCTTAAGTCCATCATAGAAAAATGAAAATCCTTTTTACTGCCAAGCTTTATGACCTTCAAATCACTTTTACATACATCTATATAACTACATTTCATAAAAACGAATAATGTCTTCTGTTGACATATTGAACCATAGAACTGCAGCTCTTATTCAAGTATTGTTTTGTCATTGATTATACTAAGGACTTGTAGAATTTAATTTTTTTTTTTTTTTTTTTTTGAGATAAAGTCTCTCTGTGTAGCTCTGGCTGTCCTGGAACTTGCTCTGTAGACTAGGCTGGCTTGAACTCACAGAGATCTGCCTACCTTTGTCTCCCGAGTGTTGGGCTTAAAGGTGTGCACCACCACTGTCTTGACTTTTTTTTGATCTTTTCATATGTAGAAAACTTAAGAACAGAATGGAATGTCATTTAAGTAAGATATGTACTCGTTTTATTTAAAATTAAATCAGACTCATTTACTGCTTGTTACGTAAATAGTATTTATTATAAAAATACCAAATTAAAAGGAAAATGGCAAATGGGTGCCCTAACCCCTCTTTCTGTGCCCATAGCAGCTACTCCTATTTTTAATTCTGTTGTCCTTTAAAATTCTAATCGTGCTAAATAAATTAATGGGAATTGTAGAAGTTCGTTAATTTGGGATGGACACAAACAAATGCATGGAGTAAAGTTCAAATATGACTATCTGTATCAGCTAAAAGTAATTGAGTTATAGGTGATTATGTAAGAGACTACAAGGTTTGTTTTGTGCTGGTAAAGTTAATTACACATTCTAGAATCTTCTCTAGGCGATTGAAGCTGCCATAGCTTTCTCTTGTCCTTTCGCTTTTGTTAGTACTTACATCAGTTGAGGTGAGGTTACAGGTGGTTGTAAGCTGCCTGGCATGGGTGCTGGGACTGAACTTGGGTCTTCTGCAAGAGCATCCTACCATTGAACTGCTAGCCATCTCTTTGGTACAGATAATTTTTACAAGTCAAATTCAAAGTTCAAGCTGCTTATCTAAATTATGAAAAGTACACTTCTTTTTTGTTTCTGTTGAACTTTTACTACTTATGTTTTTAATTGGCGTATCCAATGAGTGAGATACCTCATTCACATGTATCTGCTGTTTGTTGCCTGTTTATATTTTTCATGGCTGTGTAGCGTCCACTATGAGTTACAATAAAATTAACTGCATTGCTATTATTGAATATTTTATTTCTAAGTTTTCTTTATTATAACTTACCCAGTAAACTCCAATAAACAAAACAAACAAACAAACATACAAAAAACCTTGATGGTTTCTCTGATAAATTTCTTCAAGTAAACCTTCTAGGTCTACAAGCATTTTGAGCTGGAGATGACTCAGTGCGTATAAGTGAGGACTTGGGTTCGGATCCCTCATGCTAATATAGAAAGCTGGATGAAGCATCCTGAAATACCAGTTCAGGTAGACTGAGACAGGATGCCAGGGGCTCCATAGACATCCAGTGTGGCCAGATGCTGAGCTCCAGACTCAGTAAGAGACCCTGTCTCAGAAAAACAGGGTGAATAAAAGATGACCACATGAACCTCTGGCCTCCACTGGTAAACGCATGGGCACACATGCCTGCACACAGATATGCATAACTCCTCTCCAAAGAAGTAAAAACTCTTAAAATACATGAACATTCTTAAGATGGTTTTTAGAGATGTATTTACTTTTATTTTTGTGTATGGGTGTTTTGCCTTCATGAATGTCTGTGCACCATGTTTGTACTGTGCCTGCTAAGGCTGGAAGAAGGTGTCAGATTCCCTAGAGCTGGAGTTACAGAGAGGATTGTGAGCTGCCTTGGGGGTGCTGGGAACTGAACCCAGGTTCTCTGCAAAAACAGCAAACATTCTTAAACTCCAACACCATCTTTAGAAGTTTTGAGATATTTTCAAACAAACAAAAAACGGTGTGGGTGTGTTTCTTGTCCCCCCCCCCCTCACCAGTCTATAGTATTTTCAACCTTCTTTTAAGGACTTTGAATTAAGAACATCATGGATAGAAGTGTGTTAAACATATCTCGATCTATTCCTCCTTTTGCAGATACACCATCGTGTTTGTTTATTATGCGTTCTGCCTGGTGTTGATGATGCTTCTCCGGCCTCTCCTGGTGAAGAAGATTGCCTGCGGGCTGGGGAAGTCTGAGCGGTTCAAAAGCATTTATGCTGCACTTTACTTCTTCCCCATCCTGACCGTGCTGCAGGCGGTTGGTGGAGGCCTCTTGTGTAAGTCTGATGAGTAAAAAGGCAGTGTTCTCATCCTAACTGAACTTTACAGCTTTTCTTTAAAGTCATCCTTTAATCTTTGAAGGCAGGCCTTCAAGTGTCTTTGCTGGAACATAGTGTTGTTAAAAACAGAATGGAATAGAGTTTCTCAACACAATGAGACTGAAGTTTGTAATTAAACTGGAAGATCTTAAAATTCTGAGCATACAAGTTTAAAAAGTAGCTTTATATATAGTAGATGAAAATTTATGTATTGTTTACTGTTGTCTTAGTTTTCTAGGGTCCTTTATAAAAATCTTTCTTATATAGTTAAAATAAAGTCTGTTAGTTAAGATAATCATTCATTTAGCAACTCTTGAGATCTTAGAAGAACAACAGGTAAGCCATTGTTACAAGGCTCAAACATAGCACTAGGAAATAAAGTAGACACCTTCCAGACAGCCAAGGAAGTATTGGAGGGGACTTTTGAATACATTCCCATTTTCCAAAATCCTTGCATTTTGCATAGTGTTTTTTCTAAGAAGTCTTCCAAGAAGCCGAGGACAGGCCTTTTGGCCCAGGAATGAGAAAGGGTGGGGATTTATACAACTTGGTGATGTGATTTGGTTCCAGGTGAAAGCGAAACTAAAAGAGGAAATCAGAGGTTCTTGGGTTCAGAGTCTATTAAGGAAGGGAGTTATGGCCACAAGTGGTAGACACAGTGGCCAGAACAGCCGAGAGCTCGCATCTCAAACTGCAACCAGGAAGCTGAGAGTAAAGTAGGAATGTATGAATGTTAAACTCCCAAAGTCAGCCTCCAGGGACACGCCTCCTCCGACAAGGCCACAACCCTTAAACTTCCCAAGTAGCACCATCAACTGAACCAAATATTGAAACATACGAGCTGATGGCGGACATTCTTATTCAAACTACCCATAGGGACCTTACAAAGATTTAGGTAGAAGGGTGACATGATCAGATTTCCGTTTTAGAAAGATAACAGTGGACTTTGAGAGAGAAAAGCTGGGGAATCTGCTTGGAGGTGACTGCAGTAAGCTGAGCCTGACCGACTGACCTAAGCTGTGATGCTAAGACTGCGGAGCCATTTCAATGGTAGGGTTCACTAAAACAAGTAATAAAGTTAATGCAGGGATTGGGAATGAACTGAACATATAATAAAGTAACATCCTCTTTAAATAACTCATAGATAGGTAAGCATTAGAGGAAATAAGTAGACTGGGAAAAGTGAATTCACTTTAGGCACTCAGAAGGTCCAGGAGGTTGCAGGTAGTAATTTACAGTGGGTAGAGCTTGGAGGGACTGTCTAGGCTGGAGTTAAGCATTGTCACCCTTTCACTTTTGAGTCGCTCCCTCACTTATTAGGTGTCTCATGCAAGTCAGAGATGATCTGGGCCCACCCTGCTCAGTAGTACTTCAACCCTTTCTCTTCAGGATGCTCAAAGAAGTACACCATGCACAGGGGAGAGGGAGAGACATGGCCTTTCAGGCAAATACTACCCAACTCATTTTCTGTCACTCATGCATCCTATTACAAGGGAATTTTCCTTTAGCATCTTTCATGCTTGTGGCCCTTAGACAGGGGTTCACTCAGAGAGCCTAATGACTGAAAATTGATGTCCTCAACCCTCGGGAACACACTGACTGGTGGATTCAGGCATCAGTGTGACCAAGGTTGAGCCTATGGATAGATAATTTGGGAGCCATTGCAAAGTCTGACTAAAATACTCATGGGCACTCTCAGGCTATTACAGATATCTCCATGAATGAGCAGTTTGGTGTTGGACTTGATTCTGGTTATCTTGTAGCAAAGAAGTGTTTGTGGTCACCAGGCACAATGATGATGAAGCAGTGTGCCCGAGAGCTTTGTGCTGGTGGGGCCTTCACTGAATGTGTAGACCAGGGTGACCCCATTGGTTGGAGTACTAACATGAGCCACCCCAAAGACAGACCAACGGAACACTGAGAGGAGAGGCCGGTCAAGGAAGTAGTGAAAAAACACCCACTGTTAACCAGTTACCCTGTCACCCTCTGTATGGAGGAGGAGGAAGAGAGGGCATGAGTGACGATGAGGCCGAAGAGAAGAAAGGAAGACAAGGATAATGAAGAGAAGCCTAAGACTGAAGATTGGGTGAGGATGAGCACAGTAAGGATGAGGAAAAGAAACGAGGGGAATTCAGGAAGCTGAACAAGACCATGCCCATTTAGAAGATTCTGACGACACCTGTCAGGAGGAATTTGGCAAATTCTGTAAGAGCCTCTCTCGGCAGTCAAGCACTTCTCTGTAGTTAGATGGAATTCTGGGTGATGCTCTCCATCCCTTGGCAAGCTTTTGACCTCTCTGAGACTAAGAAGTGCAATAACATTGAATTCTGTGTTCACCATGTGCTCATTGTGGGCAGCCGCAATGAGTTGATGCCCACCTATCTCGGTTGTATCTGTGTCATTGTTGACTGAGGATTGCCCCTCAATATCTTCCAAGATGCTCCAATAGAGCAAAATTTTGGAAATTTCCACAAAAAAAAAAACATTGACTGGAAGTGCCTTGAGCAGGTCTCTGAGCTGCCAAACAACAAAGAACCATAAGGGATTCTGTGAGGTATTTTAAGAATCTAAAGCTTGGAATCCCTGAAGAGCCCACCAAGCTGCTATGCCTCTCTGAGCTACTGAGCTGTCTGCCACCCCTCTCAGTCTGGAGATGGCTTCTCTGTCAGCATTGTCTTGCATGAAGGGAACTGAAGTTGTACACTCCAGTGAAAGCGAAGAGGAACTGGCCAACTCTCCTCTTGAGAACAAAAATGGATGTTTAAGTCATGATTCATTTGCGAGTACTGGAGGCAGCAGCCAAGGCGTTTGATGGGAAGAGGCTGGTCTCCATGTCCAAGGAGCACAGGGATTTCCTTACCGTTCCTGCAGAAGCCTTGGGAGGCCCTGGCCCACCTGGCTCCCTCTGCTAATGTCTAGTGTTCTTCTGTCCTTGGGTGTCTAAGGCAGGAAAATCATCTCCCTCACCCGAGAGCAGGCTTAGGTGTTGTTTATTGTATTTGTTTTGTTTTGTCCTAGAATTAAAATATACAAAATAAGAAATAAAAGTAGTTATCCAATTCCTTTAGCCTAACTTGGTGCTGCTGTGTTGAAGCTCTTAGGAGCTGGAAGAAAGAGAAGCTATGGGAATAAGGCAACAGTTTGGAATGTTAACTCAAGGAGACAGCCAGATAGTATTGCTTGCTGAATTACAGCCGTTGTGAAGTACTTTCCAATTGTATGTAAAGTATGGCAGAACTAGGTCTGTTGGAGAAGCGTTAGACTGAAAATTTTGTTAACAAGCCTCTGCTCATATTCAGAGGATCAAATGGTTCTAATTCATTTGCAGTCTCCTGCATTAGTCACAGAGGGCTCATACCTAATTCATGATTTGGGGGAAAAATAAATTTGCTTTTTTTTTTTTTAATGAGATATAGCAAGTGCGAGCCCGGTACATGGGGCAACTTCTGGTAGCTTAGCACACTGGGGATTGATGGCCTAGGGAGGAAAGGGCTGGGAATGCTTGGGTAGTGGTCAGTAACACACTTCTGGCTTAGAATATTCTTTAGCCAATATTTCAGGTGTGATCTGCATCTGACCCACCAGGGGAGAACATGCTGATTCCCAGGCCCTAGCTCAGATCCAGGTACACAAGATCTCAGGTTGCTTTACATCCTAGCATTTAAGGACCCCTCAATCCTGGGTCTCAATGGGTAGTACACGTCTGACCCTGGAAGTTGGGGCTCTCTTATAAGATCATAACCACATATGTTAGCAGTGTTATTTATGGGTACTTTAAGTGAGTGAGTTTTTTTTTTTTTTTTTTTGGTTTTGTAGTGATTGATTGAGGGCACAATCAGTAACAAAAAATTATAGATATTATTAACTCACTCAATTCTGAATTACATTGAACAGGCCTATTGATAATTGAGGCTCTGGCCACTGCATCCAACATTAATGCTTTAACGTGTTCTAGGTGTGCTTTGTAGAATAATTGGAAGTTTTATAAATTGAAGCTATTTTGAAGTAATTGTATAGAAATAATTCAGGGTATTTTTATCAATTTGTCTATTTTTGTGCTATAAATTTAGACATAGTAGGAAAGGGGAAACTGTAATGTTTTGTAGGGAAGACTTTTGCTTAAGATAATTATCTAATTCCTTTAGCTTAACTAAAGGAATTTCTAGAGCTTTCCTAGGAAGAATACCAAAAGAGTACTAACTAAAAAGTTTGATGACAAATAAACTTTTATGAAGACATTGACAGCTGAGTTATTCTTATGAATAGTCTTCTCAACCAAGATTCTCTTCCTGAACCATGAAGCAGAAAACTGAGTGTTTTCTCAGTTCTCTTGTTTGGTATGTAGCTACTAGTAGCATTCTAGATACATGGGAGAGAAGTTGATTTGTGTCAATTGATTCTTAAGCTGACACAAATCTCTTAGCTTCTCACAGGTATGCAATGATTTATATCTTTAAGAGATTAAGAAAAAATTCACAGGAAAGATTTGTTATTGTGTGAAAACTACATGAAACTCATACTTTATTGCTTATGAAATTTTATTGGGACGGAGGCCTAGCTGCTTATTTACATGTATTCTGTGCTGTTTGCATACCACATCTGTTGAGTCAGGGAATTGAGATGGAGACTGTGTGGCCTAGAAGGCAAAAAATATTTATAATCCGTGAAGAAATGGCTGTCAGTCCCATCTCAGGGTGATAGGACTCAGGTCTCCGAAGTGGCCGAGAAAGAGTTCAGAAGAACTGTGTTTTATGTGATGTTTTAATCTCTTAGTTTCTAATACAATACCTGTGTTTGTTTTCCAGATTATGCCTTCCCCTACATTATATTAGTGTTGTCTTTGGTTACTCTGGCTGTGTACATGTCTGCTTCTGAAATAGAGGTAGGAAATTGGTTTTTCTTTGTTACACAGTTTTAGGTTTTGTTTTTTCCTTTAAATAAATATTGATAATTGAATGGAATAGTGCATATGATATGGTAAGGAATACTAAGTGGTTCAGTGGCCCTTGACTAATTGATGTCCCTTGTACCTCCTTAGTTAATTTTATGAGAGGTTGTGTGGGCTGCATTGTATCCTTCCTTGGGAAATTAGGAAAGTGGTCGGTGCTCTTATTCAACAAGATGTAGAAGGTGGTCTAGCATAATTTACCCATATAGCAGATATGCAGTTATCAACACATTAAAGTTCGCTGATACTATTTGAAAGACACACAGACATGGTCTAGTACACACAGAACTGATTTTCAATTGCATTTTACTAGAAATGTCCATAATTATTCATTCCATACCAGCTGCAGCTCCCTCTCAGTTTCATGCTTGATTTGGATGTTTTTGCCCTGCAGTATCTTTTCTTTTGTTGATTACATTGATACTAGCACTTTAGTTCTGATTGTGATAAGCCTTTTGTGTTTCTAATTTTTAGTATTTCAGTGGAAACATGCTTAGTCAGGGTTACCATTGTTGTGATGGAAGCCATGCCCAAAGCTAGTTGGGAAGGCAAGGGTTTATTTGGCTTACACTTGCACAGCACTGTTCATCATGGAAAGAAGTCAGGACAAGGACTCAAACAGGGCAGGAACCTGGAGGCAGGAGCTGCTATAGAGGTCATGGAGGATGCTGCTTACTGACCTGCTCCCCTGCTTGATCAGCCTGCTTTCTTTTAGAGCTGAGGACCACCAGCCTAGGGATGGCACCAGCACAGTGGGATGGGTTGACCCCCATCAATTTAAGAAAATGCCCTACAGCAGGACCTTATGGAGGCATTTTCTCAATTGAGGTTCTCTCCTTTCAGATGACTCTAGCTTATGTCAAGTTGACATAAAGCTAGACAGGACAAACAAGGAACCTTAGTTTTTAAAAGTTTTACATTGTATATGTTGCTTTAGTTTTGTTATAGTATATTTAAATTATTTCATTAAAACCTTTTATTTATGTGTCCAAAAGCTCAGTGTATGTGTGGAGGGTGGTTCAGTTCTCTTCTGTCCTGTGGGTCCTGGGTATCGAACTCAGGTTGTCAGACTTGGTGGCACTACCCACTGAACCATCTTGTTGGCCCTGTTATATTTTCAATTCAGAATATTTTTGGCCAAAAATATGTATTTTGGTTCATTGCTAGTTAGGGTGTTATTGTAAAGTAGAACAGCCTGCCATCACATTTTTAAATATTTTATTTTTAAGGAACTAAGGTAATATCAGTTTACAGTATGAGCAATAAATAAGAAAAATATATTTGACACTCTAACTAGAACAGATGTATTCGTAAAAGCTTTAATCAATGTGAGTAGTTTTGTGTATCTCTTGTAAATTTCTTTCCAATTATGTGGCTTTCAGATTCCGTTTATCTTAAGACAGCACTTTTACATGATTCCCATTAAGTGCCTAAACAGCGCACTTACAAAGCTCTATCAGAAACAACACTCCCAAGAATTTAAGAGTCGAATTCCTAGACCTTCCGTGCTGCGCTGTGCATCTGCTGCTCACAGCAGTTAGCATGTGTGCTCTCTCAAACTTCTTCTTGTGTTGAAAAGGACACCAGAGAAAACAAGCTCCTTTTGAGAGATGGTTGCTGGTGCCTCTTTATCTAATACATGGTTACTATGTGAGTGAGGTCCTAGCCTGAAACTCGTAGTGGCCTTAGGTAGAGATGATAATGAAGGGATTGAATGGGATGATTTGATGGCAATTATTCAGCTCGCCTGGTTTGTAGACTTGCCTCGTTGCTCCCTTGTAATCTTTAATCAGCATTGCAATTGGATTAATCAGGGAAGATAGGAAGTTAGTTTTGACATTTCATCAACCAGGAAAAGATGAAGGTGGTGTTGGAATATTTGAATAAAATATGCATATTTATGAATGAGCAATGCTCTTTTAGATCATCTGGTGACTCCTTTGATTCTCTGTCTCCATGTGTCTGCTCTGTAAGACGTTTGCATCCTTCAGTTAGTTCCGTTCTCAGGAGTTGAGTATGGGACTCTGAATCCAGAGAAAGACACACCCATGAGTCATTCAACTGAAAGAAAAAGTTGAAGAGTAACCCACCAAAAATTCCATATCACTGTGCTTATTAGCACATTTAGAGTCACTTTTATATTGATTTGACCCTTTGAGTTTCTCCATGTTATTACATGGCACTGAAGATGGAAAGAAAACCAGGTAATTTTAGTGAGTTATTTCTGTTGCCTTGAGTGCATTCAGACAGCAGATACTGGAAACATTAGAGACACGAAGGTGAAGTTTATGGAGCTGCATTGATACTGTAGACCTGCTCTTGTAGTTCATGTCTTTCCAAAGAAGCCCATGTTCCCAAGGGAGTGCTGATGTAGACGAGGACCAAGCGATGGGCTCCAGGCTAAGTGTGGCTGTTGAGGGCCTTTGTGACCACCTGGACAGTGGGTGACTTGACTGCATGATTGGGGCAGTTCCTAAGTCCTTTTTAGCTCAAGCATTCGGAGTCTGGGCCATGACTGTGTGTGAAGACCAGTGGTCTAGAGGAGTTTCGCTAATTTGGGTCTCTCTTTTTTTCTCATACACGATCACACAGAACTGCTATGATCTCCTGGTCAGGAAGAAAAGACTCATTGTGCTCTTCAGCCATTGGCTACTACACGCCTATGGGATTGTCTCCATCTCCAGGGCAGACAGGCTTGAACACGACCTGCCGCTTTTGGCCTTGGTACCTACACCAGCTCTGTTCTACTTGTTCACTGCAAAATTTACTGAACCATCACGGATACTCTCAGAAGGGGCCAATGGACACTGAATATAAAATGTCAAAAAGAAAAAACAAAACAAAAAACCCTAAAAAGTATTCTTAATAAAAGAAGGTGAAGAAGAAATTAGAGTGTATTAATAGCATTCTGTCATACGTGGGAACAAGATGGTCTGGATAACTTAATGCTTGTTTTTTATCTTTTGATTTAATGGACCTTATGGTCAGACTTGGAAATTGCACAGCATCATGGTACTGTGCTATCTATATATTATCTGTCATACTGGAAGCCCAAAAAGCCATGTTTCCGTGCACCTGTGCTATTGGGTATTTCCTAGCCCTCTGTGAATACCTTCTATCAAGCATATTCGGAACTCCTTTGCTGTGAATACCTTCTATCAAGCATATTTGGAACTCCTTTGCTGTGGCTTGGTTACTCCTGCTTGTGAGCTGTGCATTCGGCTTCCACTTATGAGGAATTACAAAGGCAAATGTACTTGTGGGGTATGAGGGCAACTACAGAGGCAAAGTTGTCTTTGTCAATGTCTATTTATTTTCACCAATACAGTGTTTTAGTAATATTATAAAAATAAAGCATAACTTATATGATGAGTTTTTTTGTTTATAGACAATTTCATTGAAGACGTGTCCAGATTACTGTTCCTGTAAAGAGGAAAACAATAAAGAGTTTAACTGTAAAATACCTCAGTGTTCTGACAATTGAGTCTTTTTTGCCACAGTGATATAGAAGTAATTAAAAATATTAAGTATTAAGCACAATATATCTGTTGTCTACTGAATAAATACACACACTCCCGTCCTCTCATATTTTATTTCTTAAAGCAAAATTCATATGCCACATTTTATTGATTCAGAGACTTTTCCCAGGTCATGACATTTCTGAGTCAGGATCTTGTAACTAGAAGTATCTGGGATAGAATGAAATACAGGAATATATAGATGCTCCCCTGTTCCCCTGTGGCTGGTTTTGGATAGGTAAGCTGCCATGTTCAAACTCTGAAGACTCTGAGAGACTCATGTCACAGCCATGGAAACAAATAAAAATGCTAACACTTAGTCTAATAATCTGGTCATGTGTATCCATGTGTAATGTTTGAAATGTTATTCACTGGTTCTGCTCCATGGCAACTTTGAAGACTTACGTTAATGCTGCAAAATACGAACATAGGTGTACTTACATTGCCTGGAGTTCTCTGGGATTCTCTAGGTTTTTTCCTTAAGTTATTTGCTGCTCCGGATTAAGGCGTTTCTCCTAGCACGAATGGCTGGAGGAAAACGGACCTTCTTTTTACCTTTTTTATTCTTTCCTGTAAGAAAAAAATTAAATTCTATTTGTATCTTACATAGGTTTTATGGTTATTAATGTTCAGTAAAATCCTGAGTTGTTCCAAGAATCCTTAAGTGGCTAATTATGTAGTCCATACCGGAGAAGTGATGGGTCAAATTACCAATGCTACCTCTGGACCCATTGCATTCAAAACAGTTTTTAGCAGTTACCTTCCTGTGTACCATTGTAGCAAAAGAGTATGTGCAAAAGGTGGACTCAAAAAAAAAATACAATTCTCCAAAGGCAGAGATTGTCAGGGATACTTAATCTGCATTTTACAGTCTGCTCTTGTAGGAACAAGGTATCAATATCATCGCCACTTTGGTTGCTCATGGTTAGTAAATAGTTTAGTAAAATGTGCAAAATAGCTCTTATCCTAGCTCTGCTCCCCATGCCACATTATAGTTTTTACTACTTTGCTACAAAATAGCCCTTACCCTAGCCCAGCTTTCTTGTTGATTGAGGTCTGGGCTGCATTGTTTTTTTTACTGCTATGGACTATAGTAATTATTTTGCTAGTCAGATGGGAATCATTTGAAAGGCAAAGTTTTTCTTAAATTGGGTTTATCAATAAGTTTAACATCATGTTTCTAAAATGATCAGTTTATAATACTTGACTGCTGAATGGAGCCATGTATATACTTGGAATACAATATGCCTGACCTCAACCCCGGGCACTCACATTGAACTACTGTCCAGGCTGGCCTTGAATTCACAGATACATACCTGCCTCTGCCTCCCAAGTGCTGGGATTGAAGGCGTGCGCCACCACCACTTGGAGTTTTGACTGAACAAAAGCATACAAAGGGCCAAGAAGCTTTTAAAAATGTTCAGTATCTGTCGCCTCCAAGGAAATGTGAAACAAAACTACTTTGAGATATATTCCATTTTACCCAGTCGGAATGGCTGTCACCAAGAAGACAAATGACAATTGCCGGCAAGGCTGTGGGGAAAGGGGACTCTCATCTGCTGTTGGCTGGAGTGGAAATTGGTGCAGCCATGATGAAAATCAGCGTGGAAGTTTCTTAAGAAAATAGAAATAGAACTACCATATGACTCAGCTATAGTGTCCCGTATCTTTCCATGGAAATATGTGTATACCTGCAATTCTTGCTTCTGTATTCACTATAGCAAAGCCATGGAATCAGCCTAGATGTTTATCTACAGATGGATCATAAAAATTGCTATGTGTATACACAGAATTTTATTCTACCATAAAGAAAAAAGAAATCACAAAACTTATAGGAAAATGAGTGAAAGTAGAAATATTAAAGCAAGATTACAGGCTTGAAAAGTCAAATATGATGTTATCTTGTATATACAGATCCCTGGCTTGTAACTTTATTGTGATTTAATGTGGGGGTGAGTGTGAGTAGAAACTAGAAAGGGGACCACGAGGGGTGAGGAAAGACTCCAAGAGAGGGCACACAATATGAAGGCAGAAATTATTACAAGGCTGGGGTGGGGGGACAAGTGGGACAGGTCTGGAGATGGGTAAGAGGGGTATATGGGTAGGGAGGTTTGGCCCAAACTAATTATGTATTACGATGGGAGCATGTTTGCTGATTTAAAAATAGAAATAAATATAAAGGGATTGTGAGTATATTTAAATTTGATTCGTTTTCATTCTGACTTGTAATTAAAGAAAAATAATGACATTTTCTTTTAAAACTTGTAATCTGTCTTTCTCGTGTGTGTGTGTGTGTGTGTGTGTGCGCGCGCGCACGCACGCGCTCGTGTATCTATAAGGGCATATTGGGGGCAGTGGGTATCGCACATGTGTCACAATGCATATGGAGTTTAGAGAAGGACTTGTAGGAGTCTACATAGGTCTGGGGAATCCATCGCAGGGTGTCAGCCTTGATGGCAAAGGACCTTCACCCACCGAACCATCTCTTTGGCCCAAAACATTTTTAATAACTTAAAAGTAATCTGTATTGTTATTGTTTGGTTCTGGTATATGCCATTACGTTGTTTGCTTACAAAACAGAAAAGGTAAAGTTAAGTGATCACAGTGTGCAGGTGAATTCTGGCGTCTAGCACTCTGATATCCTCCTCATTCCCCTTTCCAGTTAGCGAGCCAACTGATCTCCCATTTCTCGGCTACTCGGGGTCCTTGGCCAGCTCACATCTGTGCCTGTCCCTGACGTTCCTGTGAGCTATTAGCATCCGATAAGAGAGCTTTCCCTCCGTAGAAGTGATTCATTAATTCTGTCTATTCTCTTGCCCCGGGGTTACTCGGTAGAATAATGGAGCTAGTATAATGGGTGTGGAGGAGGGCAGGACCTGAAGGATTGTAATGACATATTATGTCCAAGAGTGGGCAGTAGAGGGCTGCTATCCTGGAAGCATTCCAGGGATTCTGGAGACCATCAGGCAATCCAGAAGTTGGAGACTATGTGTGGCTGTGAGATGGTGGAGTAATTCAAGGGCCAAACGGCACTCGCTTCCCTAGGATGGTGGGAGATTCCAGAGACCCGATGAACACTCAGTCCATGTTTGATACGGTATAACACCCGTTTGCTGTCACTCACATTGTACGATTGGGGAGCGTGAGGAAGAGAGTGAAGCAGCCGGAACCCACCTGGATTCAAAGCTCTCACTCTACTCCGTGCCCTGGGAGTGGAGATCGGCAGCGCTATGGCAAGCCGGCGATCTGCTCTCAGGTCTGTCTCAGCTCAACTTCGGAGCCTCTGGCTTATGATTCCTCAACCCAGCTGCCTCTTAGAGAAACCCACACTTCTTATGCGCCACTTTTGGCACACGCAGGAATTAATATGCATTTTCAGCGATCCCGGATTCTCTTTCTACTGTATCAGCAATGGGCAAGTTACAACCTAATGGGTAATTCCACGATAGCAGGCGGAATTGTAACAAAGATTTCAGGGCTGGTAGTCCTGTCAGAGGAGGAGCTGCTAGGCTCTATAGGGACTGTGAATCTCCTTTGAAGAGGGGGTGTTGTACTCACTGCAGTTACCCAGGTATCTTAGAGCTTCAGCAGGATAGGCGGTTAGTAAATGCTTGCTGACCGCAAGGTTTCATTGACTCTAAAACAGTACAGCTCACTATTTTTATTCTTGTTTTAAGGATTTCTTTGTTCTTACTTTATGTGCACGAGTGTTTGCCTGCATGTATGATGTGCACCAAATGCGTGCCTGGTGCCCAAGGAGGCACTGAGTCCCCTGGAGCTGGAGTTATAGGCGGCTGGGAGCTGTCATGCGCTGGGAACCAAATTGTGGGGCAGCTGCCAAAGCAGCAAGAGCTTTTAACCGAGCCGTTTATCCAGTTCTAAGCACTGATCTTTAAATCACAGTTTTGTCACTCAGTGTTCCACTGACTTTTCAAAACTGTCTAGTAAGCATATTCTTCCATAGTATCCCTTTCATTTGGAATGAAAACACAATTTTCCTTTTAGTTCACTATAGATGTTCACCATTGTGTGGCCTAGAAACAAAATCTATCTTCATTTTCCCTGTGTCTCAACCTGTGTGACCTTAGGCTTTGCCAAAAGAGCCTCTCATGTGATTAGAGAAGAGCATGGCAATGTCAACATGCTAGTTCTAAATGTTTTCTCTATAAAGTTAGGCAGTCAATGTTCTAGACTTGGAGGATTGCATGGCCTGTGTCACCACCACTCAGTGATTTGTGGCGTAAAAGCACAGGTATACGTAATGAACATGGTTATGCTTCTATAGGATCACATAGGATGGAAATGGAATTCATATGTGACAATGATATGACATGCTGTTGCTCTTTTGAGTTTTTCTAATTATCTAAAAGTATTGAACACTTAAACAGTGTTTCTGAATCAGGTGTGGTGGCTCATGCCTATAATCCCAGCACTCAGGAAGTTGAGGCAGGAAGACCCCGAGTTCACTACAGCACCAGAATCCACAGTAAGATCCTGTCTCAAAGATGGATTATCTAGGACGTTTTCTTTTTAATCATGAAGAAGATTCAAGACTAGTTCTCTCGAAAATTATCCTGTGCGAAAGGAAGAGCTGACAAAGTGTTCTAACAAACTCAACCCAAAGGGAGTACCTGTGTTCCGTGGGATGCTCACAGCAGTAAGCACTGTCCTTCCCCTTCCCTTGGTGACAGTCCCCAAGGAGCCCCTTATTTTGATGTCACTAGCTACTACAAGGCAGCAGGAAGTTCTGCATTACCGAATTTTCCCAAGTGTTTTTTACGAAGACGTTCAGATGATGATTCCTCCAGCATAAGAAGATGCAGCCTTTCGATCCCTCCCAGCAGCCAGGCACTAATGGCCTCGATTCTTGCATCCCGGTACTGCAGCTTATCTATTAGCGTCTTAATTTCTTGCAAGGTATCTCCTCCGATGTTCGACAGTTCCTTAAAGGAGTGGTGTTTGGGGGTATGTGAGTATGATTGCAACAAGATAACATTCTAAATGGATTCTCAACAAAATAATGGCATGTGTGAACAATTGTTATTAGGCACACAGAGTAACTCTTAGGACTGTGTGGAGCCTGTCTGATTCCTGCCTACCTAGAGGAGGAGGGGAAGGCAAGGAAGACGGTGCTGGGGAACTGGTGTATACAGAGTGAGCCTAGAGCTGTCAGCACAGACTTCCAAACAGATGTGTTGTATGTGAACTTGCAAAGAATGAAAGAGAACAAAAGGAGAGGAAAGAAGGAGGGAGAGAGGGAAGGACAGAGAAAGACAGGGAGGGAAGGACTGCCCATGCTGACTGACTGGTAGTATAAGAAGATAGTTTCTGAAAGGATTAAGATTCCATGGTGATGTTGGCACACTGAGTGTGATGGTGGTACCACCCTGTCATCCTTCTGTAGTCTCGAAATTCTGTCCACACATACATGAGTACGTACCAGGACATGTGAGCACACGTGGGCACATACACACACACACATTCACGCACGCACGTGCTCGCACACACACACACAAACACACACACACACACCCCTTTGGAAACATGATACACAAAACAATGCAAGAAGAACCCTCACCTTAATTGTGATCTGAAATTGTGCCAGGAAATCTCCGTAGTGTTCTGAAATATTTAAAATACAATGTTTACTAAAATGATATAAGTATTTTATAATTAAAGTATAAAATTATTTTCATCTAAGTTTTTACTTCTAGAATTATGGGGGGAGGGGGAGGAGAGAAGAAGGAGAAGAAGAAGAAGAAGAAGAAGAAGAAGAAGAAGAAGAGGAGGAGGAGGAGGAGGAGGAGGAGAAGGAGGAGGAGGAGGAAGAGGAGGAGGAAGAGGAAGAGGAGGAAGAAGAAGTTCTACTTTTACTTGACCTCATGGCAAAAAGTTAATATGAAACACTAAGTCAAACCTCAGATGGAAAGAAAGCTGAATTCCAGAATATATGAAAACTTTAGCTCAATGATAACAGTAAAAATCCAAGGTACGGAGTGAAAAGTTCTAGTAGACATGTAGCGGATCACAACTTGCACACTGCACCTGCTTGTACAAGCCTCTTGCCTCTCAGAGCTGATATCCTCCCCTTGTTCTAGAGTGGCTACTTTAACTGGAGAGTCGTGTGGGAGTAATACTCTGACTTCCAAGGTTAGGCTATGACAATACCACGAGCTTCCACTCCGTTCTCCTGGGATGCCTTTCTTGGAGACCAGCAGTTATGTGCAGAGACCATACGGAGGTGTTCTGGCCAACAGTTTCCCCAAGGCACTTTTGAGAGCCACATCAACGTCAAGCATAGGCACCAGTCTTTGAATGGTTGCAGATCCCAGATGCTGAATGGCCACAGCTTAGGCAGGTTGTCTCTGAGCTCTGATCACATCTCCAACTTGTGAGCAAAGTAAATTCTTTGCCTTAAGATCCTAACTTTGTGATATTTGTTAGGTTTTTATTTATGTGTGTAAGTATGAATGAAAGTCACACATGTGTCCAGGTGCTAAAGGAGGCCAGGAGAGGGAACTGGATCCCTTGCAGCTGGAGTTACAGCTAATATGGGTGCTAGGATCTGAACTCCAGTGCTCTGGAAGAGTGACAAGTGCTCTTTGGTACTTTTTATGTCAAAAGAGTTCATTGGTTCAAGATGGTTCAAAAAAGATGATTTCAGACAGCCAAGAACCACATGAACTAATGACCATTGCAGGAAAAGACAGATCAAAACCACAATGCCATACCATTCTATGCTTATGTAAAGGCTAAATGTTAATGCTTTTAATGTCCTCAAATTTCTAAGAGTTGGTGAAGAGCTAGAGCAACAGGGCCTTTTCACATCTCTAGTTGTATGAGACCTTTGGCCAACAACGTTCGCAAACTAGCAGTTTCTTCAAAAGTACTCAGACAATAATCGTGCAACCCAGCTAGTCCACTCCTAAGTGTCACCTAAGAAATAACTACATAAATAAAATCCAGAAATATACTTCCAAACAAATGTCACTTGTTGCTTCACTTATGATAAATGAAGAGCAAGGCAAATGTCCCTCAGTTGGTGTGTGTGGTTTGAATGTCATTAGTCCCCATAAGCTCATAGGGAGTGGCATTATTAGGAGGTGTGGCTTTGTTGGAGTAGGTGTGGCTTTGTTGGAGGAAGTGTGTGACTGCAGGGGTGGGCTTTGAGTGTCTCAGACCACTTCCTGGTGCCTGCAGATCAGGAACTCTCAGCTCCCTCTCCAGCACCACGTCTGCCTGTATGCCATCATGCTTCCTGCCATGATGATAACGAACTGAACCTCTGAACTGTAAGCCACCCCTATTAAATGTTTTCCTTTTTTATCAGAGTTGCCGTGGCCATGCTGTCTCTTCACAGCTGATGGAGGGAAGTATGTATGACTGATAGCAGTGCACCAGCCCCCTCCCCCCAACAACACACACACACACACACACACACACACACACACACACACACACACACACACACACCTGGCTTCATGAACAAGTCTTAAAAATCCATTTTGCAGTGGCAAAGAAGCCAGGATACAGAAGTGTGCATACTGTGTCATTTCCTTTTGTTAACTGTTGGGTTAGAAGGCAGTTTGGTGGCATCCAGAGACTGGAGGAGGGATGAAAGATCAACTGGAAGGGACATGTGGCAGCAGTCATTTTTGTAACCAAAATGAATACCTGACAGAAAGAACGTAAGGAAGGAGGCTATTTAGGCCTAGAGTCTCAGAGGGTCTTCATTCACTGTGGCACAAAGGAGCAGCTGTCTGTGCTGATAGGACTGTGTGGTGGAGATACCGTGTTTATTGGTAGCTCAGGAAACAGAAAATACAGCCTGGACTCAGGAACTGTTATAACCGTTAAAGGTCTGTTCCTAAAGACCTACTGCCACCAGCCAGGCTTCGCCCTGCAAAGATCTCACTGCCTTCCTGACAGCTCCACAACTCAAAACAGGAGCCCGGGAAGGACATTCCATATTTACACTATGACAGGGTATACAATGATGAACATGTTCTACGCTGCTGTGGTGGCAGTGGCAGCCAGTATGCATATATTCCTCAGAATGCATCGGATTTTGAAACAGATGCATTTTATTATATGCAAACTAATAAACACTGAGTTAAACAAGAACAAAATTGTAGGGAAAGAGTGATGTGTGACTTACTGTGCTGAGCTATCAGCTGCCAAGACAGGTCACCTGAGTTCTGCACGGTTATTTGTTGCTTTTCTCTGTACATTTGGGTTTGTGTCTTCAGGTAGGCAAGATGCTGAGAAGGAAAGGAACATGACAGCTGTCAGCCAGCACCTGCTCACTGCACACCGAGTTAGTGAAACGTCCATGCAGCCATTCACCCAGCATGTACCGGCGCTTCACCGTGCCACTGACTGCTCCACCGCACCTGCCCTCCCTCAAGGAGAAGACAGAGGGTCCCGCTCGCACACTATTTCAGCAGCCAAAGAAATAAGCATGGTGCGCTGGATAAGGATGGACACGGTAAGAAGTTAAAGACCAAATGCTTCATATCCACAAGAAAAAAAAAGTTCCTTCTGTAAAACACAGCAATAGAAATTCTCGTCCTTTTGGTAAATGTTAGATGTTGTTTCTGCAGCAGGAGAGGCGAGCGGGGCACTTCAACAGGAAGGTAAAATTCCCCCCTACTCTGTGTCAAAGGCTGCCTGCAGCACACTGTGTTGAGTATATGAGGGTTACTGAGGAACCAACGTTTTTCACAGTGCACGCATCCTTCTGAAAAGCATCAGTCCTTGAGCTGTTTTAGCTCTACTAGACAAGGATCACACTGAGCCGTGAAGAGATTTCCTTAATGCCATCAGGCTGCTTGGTGGCCAGCCTACTTCCCTTATCTGGCTCCTGTGGAAGGAATGGTTTTTATTCTTCTCTAGCCAATAACAGTTATTGAAACAAACAAACAAACAAACAGAACTAGAGTCTTTTCTTGTCTAAAAAGTACATAATGTACTACCTGATCTTTGAAATTATTATGAGCGTTGAATGGAACCAAGTCCCATGACTCTTGGAACATTGATGCAGACCCTAACTTCAAGGTTGTTACAGTTTAGTGGGGGAGAAATGTTTACAAAGAAGCAACATTCACCCTGTAAGACAGTAAGGACAGTGTCTCCAATGAGTGACAAACTCTACCTCATGTCTTTCAACCAAAGGAATATTGTATAAATCTCTGTGACTACTGTCTTGTAACAGTGATGAAATACAGAAAGTATATATTACTCATGTATTATGAAAAACCATTGGATTCAACAGTTCTGAGCATTAAAATTAGAATTTAATAGATTTAATTGTTGAACATACCATTCTAAAATTTAAATGAGTAAATCTTAAGTATAAATAGGAAAGCCTTACTCTTTTGAGATATAAGCCTGAAACTTAATGTTTATAAGTTGAGATTGTAACTTTTGGGGTTAAATGAACAGACTTATTTGTTGTATAATTATCAGTTAATATGGCACAACTTATTTTTTAGCTAGGCAAAGGAAACTCGAGCATGAATTGTACAAATGAAGATATCTGAGTGACCAACAACACCAGCAGGTGTTTCTTTACTTGTCAAAGGGGCTCAGATCTGCAGGACAACAGGGCACACACCCACCAGAATAGCGGAACTGGAAAAAGACAGTTGGATGAAAATATCTCTTGATGCCAAAGAGACAATCTTTCCCCAGGACTACCCACCATGTGAATACTATGCCTCGAGACCATTTAAAACTATGTTCTCAACCCGCTGTCCCACTTGGCGTGCTTGGTCTATTTTAAGTTTAACCTGCATTTAAGAGAACAATGCAACCAACTTTACTGTGCCAGCAATGAACTTTTGCAACCCATGGTAAATTCATAGCTTTGATCCTAAAGTCTGTCCTTGACCTAGAATAATACATGTGTATAATATGTGTGTGTTGTGGTAATTGTTTTCCACAGATAACAGGCTAAAACCTGCCTTAAACTAAACAAATATCCCATAAATGTTGGAAGTAGAATGTGGATATAGGTTACTGATATCTGTTTGAGGTATTTCCTACTATTCTGTGTCAGTTGTGGTCAGTAAAGCAACTTGTAAAATTTTGTTAACGATTCCTTCATCTCTTTCCTATACTGTGTTTTCTGTGCTATTTAATAAATATAAAGCAAGCTTTAGAGAAAGCTTTTTGTTGGGTGGGCACAACCACAGATCAGATAGAAACACAGCAGACAGGCAAGGGTGACACATCAGGCACACACACACTAGACTGACTGGAGACGGGCTACAGACAGTTGGAAGATAAGACATGGGCAGAAAAGTGGAAAATCCAAAATTGGGCTTTCTCTTGATCAAACTAATCCAAGAGGAAATCTGTGTTTTTACTCCTTAATTCAACGTCGACACAGGTGAGGTTGTGAGTTTCAGGGCTCTAACACGTCACTGGTGGGAGGGATGTTGTAATTTAGAAAAACAGTGTGTGAGAGAAAGATGCCATGTGACAGAGCTTGGGTGGAGGTTTTTTTTTTTAATTTGGAGAAAGTGAATGGGAAAGGGGGAGGGGAGAGGGAAGGCTGGCCTCTGGGGACAGGAGTAGCAGAAGAGAAGAGAGAGGCAGAGAGAGAGGGGGGAGAAGAGAGAAAGGCAGAGAGAGAGGGGGGGAGAAGAGAGAAAGGCAGAGAAGCAGAGAGAAGAGAAGATGGAAGGTGGGCAGGGCCCTTCTAAAAAAGAACATAGTGTATGTGCACAGGCGGTGCTCTTAGTGGCTGCATCTGAGGGCGTGTCCTGTCAGAACCCCACGGATAGGTCAGTACAGATGCCTGAATGCTAACAAGGGGCATTCAGTGCAATGCCTTTGGGAGCCTTGTACTCTGCAGGACTGCAGAAGATGCGCCTACTAATGTCTTTGCAGTTCTAGTTGGGATCTATACCCAATAGAAATATGTCTATTAGAACAGTTATACCTGAATGGGTTTAGGAGCAGGGCTGGTAATAACCAAAAGAAATTCTCCCAAACAATACTATTGTCTAAGTATATACTAGTCATATGATGGAATATACTATACAGAATGAAGGATAATGAATTACACTCAATGAGGATGAACCTCAGAGCCAGGAGGCTGAACAAACTCGTGGATGCAACATCGTTCTTCACATGCGATGCTTGAATCCTGGCAAAACCAATGTCTGGCGTTAGAAGTTGGTGGTATTCCTGTCGGGGGCGGTGTGGTGACTGGAGAGATTTAGAAGACTGCAACCTTATAAAGCTTGTTGCAAGTCCAGAAACTCAGTCAAAACCATTAGGCAAAGTGAACTGATCTTGAACTTACTTCCTTTAATTTTTGATTTTCCAGCATGAGAAGGGTTGCCTTTTGGTCATTCACATAGATATCATTTTCCAAGTTCTTTAGAAATTCAAAATGCTCTTTGATTTTTTCACTTTCAACCTCCCGTAAGCGTTTTAATTCTTTCTTCACAATGTCCTGCCCAAACATAAAAGCTACAGTTATCTCCTAAGGATCAAAGGGCAGGGCACCAGCATTATGCTGCTTAGGTCACCCCATTCTGTATTCATCCCTGAGCTGTACAGCAGAAAGTCTCAAAAGCTGAATAGTAAAAACTTACTTGTGGACTCTGGTGAGGTTGTGGGTGAACCTTAAGTGCAGTATCCTAGACACTAGCAAAACTTCACAAATTAGGATATGCTTTGATACTTGAATAATTGCCTGTCCAAAATGTCAGGGGGAGATTCACTGAGATTTTGAAGGAAGATTGAATGCACCTAGAAGGGGAAGGTGTTTCCTATGGATATTTATTTACCTGTTTATTCATCTACTTTTTGTTTGTTTTTGAGATAAGGTGTGAAGTATCCTAGGCTGGCTTCAGGACTCTGTAGTCAAGGATGACCCTGGACCTCTAATATTCCTGTCTCCACCTCTCCAGTGCTAGTAATACAATTGTGGTCCACCAAGATTAGTCTATGCAGAGTTGAGTACTGAACCCAGGACCTCACACATTTCGGGCAAGCACTTTTCCAATGAATCTATATCATCAATCCTGAGCCTTAAAAGAATGCTGAATAGTGTTTCTTACAGAATTCTCTATGCAGTTCTTAGTTATTATAGCATTATAAACCTCATGTTCTTTATCCAATGTATTCCTCACCCAGAACATCTTATTAGAAAAAAGGATGTGTCTGTACATGCATGTGTGTGTGTGTCTGTATGTGCATGTGCCTTACTCTTCTCTGTTATGTATTTGTCCATTATTTCTTCTTGCCCACAGCATATTAAAAATCACATTTGAGGTCGGGCGGTGGTGGCTCATGCCTTTAATCTCCAGTACGTGGGAGGCAGAAGCAAGTGGATCTCTGTGAGTTCGAGGCCAGCCGGCTCTACAGAGTGAGTTCCAGGACAAGGTTACGTAGAGAAACCCCGTCTCAAAACCAAAATAAGAAAGTAAATACATAAATGATCACCTTTGATATCCAGATATATCAAAAATAGGATAATTCATGTTCAATTAACCAATTGCACATAAATAATTTATAATGACATTATAGATTGTGTATTTTGAAGGACAGTAAACATTTCTTTGCTTGCTCCTGCTCTATCTGCCATGATCTCTGCCTACACAGCCTCAAAGAGCTTGCCCAATGCAATCCCTACCCTCTCAGGGAAGGCTTAGGTCTCCTCACAGGTCAATGATGTTTTTCTACCATTATACTTGAGCTGCTTCCAGGGGCTCCCACCTTCTCAATCATGTGTTAATCTGAGGGAACTGAAAGTTATCACACCTAGAAGATGTGTGAAGCTCACTTCTGGGTGTTTTTCTGAGGGCGTTTCAGATATGATTAGATCACCAGGATGCTCACTTAACAGATTTAGTGCATTGGCGGACTAGAGTTTTGTACAGAGTATTTGGAGGTGATGGGACTGGGGATCCTAAAACCAGGTGGAGGAAATGGATTTCTGGGCTTGTTTTTGCATAACTTAGATTGGTCCCAGCACCTTCTTCCCATTACTCCTCTCTGCACCCTGCTGGCCATGTGGTGAAAGGCTTTCCTCAACCATGCCCTTCCTGCTGGAAACTCAGAAACAAGAGAAGCCAGCCTATCAGAGATGTCTGAGATCAAATAACCCTTCCCTCCATTGAGTTGGTTTTCTCAGGTGCATATATCTAACTTCCCTCATATGTATATATTTACTACAATTTTAAACACTGGCATTGGTGTTTAATAAGCCAAGTTCATGGAAACTGAATAAATAGTATTGCTTGAATACACTAGCATTTTAAGGAAGGAGAAGGCAGGGGGCTCTGAGTGGTAGCATGCTTTCATCCTGGCATTCTGGAGGTTAAAGTAGGAGATTCACTAGTTTAAGTCAAAGACTGACTACACAGAAAAACAAAAACAAAGCAAACAAAAATCTTGTCTAAGAAAACCAAGCCCCAAGGATGTAGTTCTGGCAGAACAACACTTGCCTAGCATATAAAGGCCTGGATTTCAATCCTCGACACTGTGAATAGCACAAAATAGAATTCCAAGACAAATGAACCACAGCGATTATTTACCGTGTTGTCCGAATATTTGGTGATATCCTTTTTAAAGCGGAAAATGTAGTGGTTCAATAAATTCTCCTCTTGCTTCCTTGCTATTTAAAAAAAGAGAAAATAACTGTCCATAAAGTTATTTGGTTTAAAAAAACATTAACCAATATAAGACATGCACAATTTTGACAGTTATACTGTGATAAACTATTACCAAAATAAAAAGGCAGCTAATAGCTGGATGGTGGCGACACGTGCCTTTAATTACCAGCACTTGGGAGGCAGAGGCAGGAGGATCTCTGTGAGTTCAAGACCAGCCTGGTCTACAAGAGCAAGTTCCAGGACAGTCTCCAAAGCCACACAGAGAAAGCCTGTCTGAAGACCCCCCCCCCAAGAAAAAGGGCAGCTAAGTGCTTCCCAGTGCATTTACCCTGTGTCTTGTTCCTCAGAATCAACTATGTCACATTTGTTTCTTTTAACTTGTTTTATTTGTGTATGTGTGAGAGACAGAGGGTATATGCACACATGTGCACTCAAAGGTATATGGAGGTCAGGGGATGGCATCAGAGTTGAGTTTCTGGAGTCTAAGGGATGCTGGCTTAGTTCATAGGCACCGTGAACTGAACTCTGGTCTTTGTGACTGTGGGTTAAGTGCCCATAAGCACCGAGCCGTCTCTCCAGACCCTTCAGCCATCTTCAGCTGTGTCTTCTGCTTAGCTTAAATTTCTTAGATTATGTGATCATAAGGCTGCAATTGTCCTCAGACACTTCCTATTCATGTCTACTCTGAGCTAAGAGGAGGAGTGGAAAGCCTAGGGAGGAGGAAGGACCTATGGACCTGGGGGAAAGTGTCAAGGGAAAGCCGTCCTGACTTGATCAGATGAAAATCTGACAAGAACCAGAAAATCAACTCAGAAACAGCAGACAGATGGACTGTCAATGCTCTTAGTATTACAATTATGTATTCTTGCAATTTTACCTTCTTGGGAATAATTGCTATTCATTTTAAACATGTGTTTGCCTTACAGTTTATCTAATTGACACAGGCAGTGTTAATCTATATCTTTATGATTATCTGCTAGCTGCTCACTCCCACTCCTACCCCCCATCCGGGAAAAGGTTGTTCTTTTCCTGTCCCCATCCTGGTCCTTTCTTTTACTCTGGGCTCTGGCCTTCTGATTCCCACAGTTCTTTCATCATCTGGAAGACATGACATCTGGAAGTGGTAGCTGCTTAAAGACCTGTGGAGAGGTCCTGGATAATGGCTGGCCCTCCACTTCCAGAATAAAGGAAAGGGTCGAACATTCTGGACCTTAGGTCCAGGGTTAGGCGACCGCATCTAATTTTGGGGGCAGAAACCATTCCTTTTTTTTGAACACACATGGTGTTATGCACACATTATGTAATATGTTGTGCTGTGTGACGGAATGCAAAAGACACATACTTTACAGACACGGTTCATATCTCTAAAAGCGCCATCTATGTTAAGTCTTATTTATCTTTGCCTTAGGGATAGGTGAGTGGGGAACAGATGTCTACTTGGAGGAAGGAAGGAGAGGAGAAGAGAAGGGAGGAAGGAGGAAGGGATGAGGGAGGGAGAACTGAGTGGGAGAAAGAACTTGGTGTAGAAAAGGGAAATGGCGGAAACTCAGGCTAGAAAGTGGAGTTACTGGGACAGGCAAAGCAGGTGCGCTTCTCCTTGGGTGTGTGATGGATGCTCACCCCCTCGGTGCTGGCCAGCACAGGGGATGGGAGGTAGTTACCAGAGCTTCGTGCACACCTGAAAGATCATTGTGGAGGGATTTAAGGTTCCTGTTCTTTTCTTTGAACTCCTCTTCTGCTTCCTGAAGCTGTGGAAGGCTGTCCACCAGCTCCTCTTCCCTTTCCTTGTTTGTCTGCTCCTCTCTTATAATCAAATTCTGTAAGAAAGCAAAGCTGATTGACCAAAGCATTTTGGATCCCTTACACAGCTTAGAGTTAAATGGATGTTCTCCAAGGGGGAGAGTCCTGTCTTCATTGGAGCAGGGGGTGCAGAGGGAGGTACCTGGCACACACTCTGTGTTTGATAAATAGGTGCTGTCTATTCACTCACCCTGGAGAGCTGTCATTCAATCTACAAAGATGCTGTCAGTTAGGTGTTTCCATTCCTACTATCTATGGAGCCAGAACATGCTTGAGAAAAATCGTCTTTGGTACATCATGTTCTATGCAAAGGAGCAGTGAAATAGAACATGTATGTTCCAAGAAATGTGACCAATGTAGAAACAACGGAATATAAAGGAATAAACAGAATATGCACACAACTCACACTCCAAAAAAGAGACTGTTTTTGTTTTTTCCTTCATATGGACAACTGAGATGTCTGAGGCTGTAGTGATATTTTGTTCATGCTTTAACAAATAAAACTTTCCTGAAGATCAGAGTGCAGAGCTAGCTACTAGTTAGCCATAGAGGTCAGGCAGTGGTGGCATATACCTTTAATCCCAGCATTTGGGAGGCAGAGGCAGGCAGATCTCTGTGAGTTCAAGGCCACTCTGGGCTACATGAGATTGATCCAGTCTAAAAAAGAAACAGAGCCAAACTATGGTGGCTTACACCTTTATTTCCTGTATTTGGGAGTCACGTGCCTTTAATCCCAGCACTAGGGATATGGAGTCAGGGGTGATAGGGCTGGGTGGAGAGAGGAATATAAGGCAGGAGGAGACAGGAGCTCATTGAATTCAGTCTAAGGATTCGTAGGGACAGGATTGCCCCTTTGGTCTGAGGATTCAGTAGAGGTAACAGCTAGTGGTTGGCTGCACTACTTCTCTGATCTTTCAGCATTAACCCCTATATCTGACTCTGGGTTTTTATTATTAAAACCAATTAGAATTTGTGATACATGGGACTCATATTTTTCTTTGAAAAGTCATATAGAAGTTTCCCTTGGGAAGATGGTCATCAAAAGACAAGAGCCTGTCTTCCAAAGTGCTATCTTCTTACTAAAGCTCTTCACCATCATCACTCTGGCTCCTGATGGATGGAATCCGTCAGGAGGCTGAAGACTGAACCTTGTGTGGTTACATAACAACCACTTTAGGATATCTTCTAGCTAGATGATCAGACTCACACAAGTCCCCTGGGCCATCTTTAGAGTTTGCTATTTAAAAACCTTTACTTTTAGTTTTAATTTTATCTAAGTTGTGGCCCAGCAGAGAAAGCAAAGCCAGAGATGTGTCTTTAGTGGGGGACAATTCTCATAACCCAGTAGACCCAAAGCACTTTAGTGATCTTGGACTCCACCACCACAACAAGTCAGATGTGAAAAGTAGATACCCCACTGTGGTGACCAGTCCAGTGTTAGCAGCCACAACAGGTTAACATGTCTTACATGACTTTGCTGTTCCTGTCCTGGTCACTAGCAGTCAGATGCCCTCCTCGTGGCAAGGAACCAATCAGAAGTTAGCTGGTGGGGCTGTGCTTTATGGCTCTGGGTATGCTTTACAGACAATTGCACAACATTGACGTGCAGAGCATAGCTGCCTGGGAGGGCCTATGGGCCCTAACAACTAGTTGACCAATCAACACCAGGGCAGGTCATCCAAGCTTAGAAGCACACCAATCCTGAGACTGTTTCATAGCCCTAGACACTCCCCTTATGCTGCCCTTTTTTTTTTTTTTTTTTTTTTTTTTTTTTTTGGTTTTTCGAGACAGGGTTTCTCTGTATTGTCTTGGAGGCTGTCCTGGAACTCCCTTGGTAGACCAGGCTGGCCTTGAACTCACAGAGATCCACCTGCCTCTGCCTCCCAAGTGCTGGGATTAAAGGCATGCGCCACCAACGCCCGGCATTTTTTTTTCAAGACAGGGTTTCTCTGTATTGTTTTGAAGGCTATCGGTCCAGCCCAGCCTCGAACTCACAGAGATCCGCCTGCCTCTGCCTCCCGAGTGCTGGGATTAAAGGCGTGCGCCACCACTACCCGGCTTTATGCTGCCCTTTAAGAGCTCCACCTCACAGGTTTTCAGGGTCTTTCTCCAGCCATCAGCCATGGTGGATGGATGAAGGACCCAAGCTCATTAAACTACTTCCATAAAAGACTCTTTGTTTTTGCATCGAAATGAGCCTCTTAGTGATTTTGGGGTTCAGAATTTGGGCACAGCATTTGGGGGCTCGCCTGGGATCCCCAAAATCCACCACAACACACCCTTTCGCTGAGTCTTGTGGTGCCACGGCAGGTAACTTTCTGTTTTCGCCTGTGCAAGTCTTTCAAGTTATGCTTTTTGTCTCTGGCTGTTGAAACTTTGGTCTTTGTTTCTGGTTGTTTAAGCTCTGGTTTCTCTAAAGCCTGCACTCTGCTTGTGGTTCAGAGGTTCGGAGGACCCAATGGATTAGAATTGGGTTCCCTGAGGGAGAGGCTGAATGGACTGTGTGTTTTTGACTCCAGCTGGTTGGGAGATCAACTGGCCCAGGCAGGTTTGTTATCTGATTTGCTGGGATCCTCAGTCTGCTAGTTCTGTCATCCATTGTGCTAGCTTGGCAGATCCTGAGCTGTATGTTCTGTGTCAGGTATTTGTGATTTTGTGTTTCTGTTGGGTATGCTAGCAAGATCTGTAAGTAGGCCTACAAGGAATCAGGGGGTTCCCCCTCATTCAGGGCAGAGATTCGGGTGGCAGCCAACCTCTGCAGTCTGTAGGAGGGGGATCCAAGGAAGGGGATTCAAGGAAAAGAGGTCCAGAGTCACCAAATCTATAGAAAGGGGACTCAACTAGGGGATTGAGTCACCCAGGGGACCAAATCACCCCATTTGGCTGGCCATCTGACTGAAAGTTCTTGCAAGATTTTGTAGGAGGGCCCTAGTCTGTCTAGTCTGTTTGTAATGTGCTATGTGGTTGTTAAGCCTTTGTTTGTCCTGACTCTGGCACCCAGGAGTTCCAATGAAACACCTGCTGCTCTGGACTCCAGCTGGGTGCTTTTCTGATAGGTTGGTCCAATGGCATGGGCTTTGACTAAGCCCAGCCAGATGGTGGCCCATCTTCTCTCTCTCTCTCTCTCTCTCTCTCTCTCTCTCTCTCTCTCTCTCTCTCTCTCTCTCTCTCTCTCTCTCTCTCCCTCTCTCTCTCTCCTTACCTGCCCGCCATGCTGCTGTGCACCCTGGGCAGGTTGGATGTCTTCTCTTACTGTCCTGAGCATGTGGCATGCAGGACAGGAGTCCCTCCTGCCATGTGCCATGGGTTAGAGCATGCTGCAGTAGGGTCTCCTGACCCCCCTTATGCAGTAAGACAGCTGCTCCGAACTCCAACTGTTGCTGCAGCCCTCACAGCTGAGCCTGGTCAGTGCAGGCTCTCTTTCTCCGCATCCTCACCTGCCAGCCTGTAAGGCATTCAGGATGTGAGGATGTGGGTCTCTGCCCCACGCATATGGCATGCTGGCGAAGGAGTCATCTGCCAGCTTTCCTGTCCACCAGAGCTCCCTGCCCGAACACATAGCCCTGGGGCAGGTAAGCCATTTGGTCAGATCTGGTCTTTCCACAGAAATGGAACGACCTTAAAGTATCATAACCACAGGAGGAAAGGGAAAATATAAACTGTTCACTGTGGTGTTTCATGTCTACAAATTCTAAATTTTAAAAATTGCTGATATAAGTTAAAATTTTAATCATATTAAGTTAATTCTGTTATTTCAAAAGTTCTGTTTAATTCTCAAAAGAAAATTATGTCTGCTTGTTTTGTTAAAAGGTTCTATCTGTGTTTTCTGGCATAATCTACGTTTTGTTACAAGCATAGAGCTAAAACAAAAATGGTGGAGGTTGCCACCGTTTTGCAGTCAGTCACATGGCAAGCTGGCCACATGGCTGGCTGGTTGCTAAGTCAGTCACATGACAGGTTGGCCACATGGCTGGCTGGTAGCCATTTTGCTGAAGTTAAAAAAAGATCTTAAACCTCCATCTTGACAAAAGGTGACCACGTGAAAGTTATAGGGTACCATCCTATGAAAAAGTTTTTTTTATTAAGATTTTAAATGTTAGTGCTTCTATACACAGGAATGCTAAGCTTTGTAATTTAACAGTCACCCAGATGATAATGGTTTTAAAAGCCTAGAGTGTATTATGATTTTCAATATTACAAAAAAGACATTAAGGGACTTTAAATTTCTTTTTAAGAACCGTTTAAAATGTTTGAATTTATAGGGCTATAAGATATTTATAATTTTAAAATGTGTTCATTGTTGATGTTTATACTTAAAGAGCTTCAACTTAAAGTAATTGTTTTTTAAAGCTAAACCTGACAGCACAAAGTTCTAATTTTATAAAAGCTACTAACTTAATGTAAGATGATAAAAATACAAGCTAATAGAGTTTATGTAGGGAAAAGGGGCCAGTCAAAGAAACACACCCTGAGCAGAGCCAAAGAAACACACTTTGTCCCTGGAATCAGAGTCAGTGAAAGAAATGCACCCTGGCCCTAAAATTGGAGCCAAAAGGCTAAAAATTACCAGAGAAAGAAACATACTTTGGCTCTAAAAGCAGAGCCAAATCTGACCCTAATCCTGGGTAGAAAACTAACCAATCTTCGAGCAGAGCTCTAGCCAATCTGAGCTCAGCACTAAAATCTGACCAATCCCCACCCTGGAAGCCCTACATAAACCCTGTGTCTGTCCAGCTTGTGTCTGTTAGGGCTACCCAGCTGTCCTCTGCCACTCTGGCAGAGGGCAGCCACTCTCCTGGATTCTTCCCTCCCAATAAACCCCTTGGATGAACTTTGGGTGAAGATCTTCTTTTGCAGCTGCGAAGAGCAGAGGCGACCGTGGGCAGAGTGAGCAGTGCTGTAACACTAGCCGGGAAACCTTTCCTTGGCAGAGCTGAGTTGTTACACTCTCCAGGAGCAGAACTGAACTGTAGCAACTTCTCCAGAGAAACCTCCTGCAGAGCAAAACTGCTACACT